TGCCTATATATATAAATATAAATCATCCAGTGGAGGTTAGATTGTGCATTCAACAAACAGATAAAGATTTGAGCATTGTCTCAGTTTCACTACACCACTATAACGGTATAACTTTGGTATTGTCCATTCCTTCTTTGAACAAAAATGAGGGCAAGAGAGAGCATTCTCATTCTCTTGGTGTCTCTTGTTTTGCTTGGGGTAATAGGTAGGGTTTGTGAGGCAGATGGAGACGGGGGAAATGGAGATGGGAACAACGGAGATGGGGGAAATGTGTTAGGAATTGTGTCTTAAATTCCCATTATTATTAGTTTCTATTTTAGAGTGTATTTTTTATGGTAATTTCTTATAGAGACGTGAATTGGGCTCTAAGAAATTGTAATCCTTATCCACAAAGGAATTTGATATGTGACTCTATAAATAAATACTTAGGCTATTATTGAGAGTGATGAGTTGAGAGAGATGTAACTTCATGAGGGAGTACGATGCTGGTAGGGGTGAGTTACGGGTTTGGTAAAGTGAACACTGATGGCGAGAGGGAGTTTCATGGAGTACACGGAGAACTCGAGAAGAGTTTGTGTGTATGATCCGGTGTTGAAATTCTCTACAATTGTAATATCTCTACATATATAGTGAATCACTTCTCATCCGTGGATGTAACCCTGATTTTGGGTGAACCACGTATATATCTTGTGTTGTGGTTTGAATTGTTATTTTTTGTTTCTTTCTTTTGCTTCCGCTGTGCCCAACAACTGGTATCAGAGCCAAAGGTGAAGGAGATCTAGAAACCACAAGAAGTCTCAACATGTGCTACAACGGGTTTCAGTTGTAGGTGGAGTCAATCGGCTTAGTTACATGGCATTGAGCTTGAGTAGTCAAGGTGGAGCCTTGGGGTTTTGACTGATTGAGCAACGTATAGTGGGGATAATCCGAGTTCTGCAATGAGATTGAGAATATTGAAATTGCAGAGAATTGTCCAAATTCAATTGCCATGAGAAGCGAGATTGACGTAATGGAATTTGAGCCAAGGTGGAGATTGTTAGGAATTGTGTCTCAAATTCTCATTATTATTAGTTTCTATTTTAGAGTGTATTTTTTATGGTAATTTCTTATAGAGATGTGAATTGGGCTCTAAGAAATTATAATCCTTGTTCACAAAGGAATTTAATATGTGACTCTATAAATAGACACTTAGGATATTGTTGAGAGTGATGAGTTGAGAGAGATATAGCCTCATGAGGGAGTACGATGCTGGTAGGGGTGAGTTACGGGTTTGGTAAAGTGAACACTGATGGCGAGAGGGAGTCTCATGGAGTACACGGATAACTCGGGAAGAGTTTGTGTGTATGATCCGGTGTTGAAATTCTCTACAATTATAATATCTCTACATATATAGTGAATCTCTTCTCATCCGTGAATGTAATCCTGATTTTGGGTGAACCACGTATATATCTTGTGTTGTGGCTTGAATTGTTATTTTTTGTTTCTTTCTTTTGCTTCCACTGTGCCCAACAAAATGGAGATGAGAACAACGGAGAAGGGGAAAACGGAGAAGGGGAAAACGGAGATGGATTGAGGAAGAACTTCTATTGGAATGGATGCTTACAAGCTGAGAAGCTTGTGAGGGACATTACATGGAGCAAATAGGGATGGCAAATTCCCCATCCCTGCCGGGTCCCCACCTCGCCCCGCCCAGTTTATAGCGGGGATGGGGACCCTTTTATGTAAACGGGGATGGGAATGGGGGTAAATTTTGAAAACCCGGCGGGGACGAGGGTGGGGGACGGGGTGGGGATGAGGTAAACCCGCCCCGCCCCGCCCCGCCCCGCCCCGATTAAATATTAAATTACTAATATACCCTTACATTTAATAATTTATTACTAAATTAGATTTAGTATATATATATGAAAATAAGAAAAATTATGTTTTTTTATAAAAATAATATATGTTAATTGGGGCCGGGGATGGGGATAAGGGGGCGGGGGCGGGGGCGGGGGCGGGTATGGGGGTGGTGGTGAAATTTTAAACGGGGATGGGGGTGGGGATGGGGATTGAAAAATTCAACGGGGATGCGGATGGGGAATGAGATCCCCGCCCCATTGCCATCCCTAGGAGCAAAGTTCAAAATGGCCCTACTTTGGGTGCTAAACTGCGGAGAATGCACTTTGCTTTGTTAGGGTATGTCCACGTTATATAACTAAATTTTGTTCCCATGACTGATTCAAGCATCTGTCCTGCATTACCTGCACACACACACACACACACACACAAACAACACACACACATATTCAGATGCATTATCACATTCATGTTGTGTGATTGTGGCAGGGATGTGATGCATCTATACTGTTGGACAAAGTTGGGACTACCCAGTCAGAGAGAGATACAATACCTAATCTCACCGTGTCAGGTTTTGATGTACTTGATGATATCAAGTCACAAATTGAGTAAGCCTGCCCTGGCATTGTTTCCTGTGCTGACATTCTAGCCTTGTCCGCTCGCGAGTGTGTGTGTGTGTGTGTTTGTTCGTATAGTTTAAGCAGCCCATGTGGGAAGTCCTGACTGGAAGAAGAGATGGCAAGATTTCTCTTGCATCAGATGTCAATGGAAACATACCATCACCCTTCGCAAACTTCGCCTCACTTAAGCAAATATTTGAAAACAACGGGCTCAATCTTATTGATCTTGTGGCATTATCAGGTAAAATGTTATATATCTATAGATTTGGATGCGATACATATACGATATGTCCATCTAGGTAATCTATGTGCATATGCAGACAACAAATTATCATCACCTCCAAAGAAATTTTGTTTAAAACAGATGCACACATCATTAGCCTTACAATACACACACATTATTATCATAAAAACAAAATAAACACACACACATATATAATCACCTTTATATAAATGCGGTATCAGATGCACACATCATTAGCCTTGCAATGCGCGCGCACACGTATGATCACCTTTAGATAGTGTGGTATTTATGATACGTCCAAGTACTAGTGTTGAAGTCATAGAGCATATATATGTATATATATGTCACACAGAGGCAACAAATATCCAATGGTATGCTCACTCTGGAACTTTCTCAAGTAGGCTTTACAACTTCACTGGAAAAGGTGATGCAGATCCTTCTCTAAATGCAGCATATGCTGAGTGACTGAGTCCTTGAGAAAGCAGTGTCCAAATCCGGCTAGCACCGCGACAACTGTAGAGATGGACCCTAAGAGCTCGCTCTCATTCGGTAGTAGTTACTTTAGCATCTTAAACCAGAACATGGGGCTACTCCAATCTGACGCGGCACTCCTGACTCAGCGAGGATAGTGAAATTGTTCGAGACACCCCGTGCTTTCTTCAGAGAGTTTAGTAGGTCAATGACGAAGATGGGACCCATTGACGTGCTCACAGGTAATGCTGGAGAGATTATGCAAAAATGCCATGTTGTGAACTCATAAATTGATCATCTGTGGAACCATTTGGGGTTTGATCAGATCTGTCTGCATTCGTCATTCATTCTTCAATTAAACAAATCGGTGGACTCAATGCCTGAGTGGATAAATATCATTGAAGATGCAAGAAACTCCTACTATTATTTCTCTCTCTAGAATTCTTACACCTCAACCCGAAAAGATCCCTCTCCTCTTCATTCTAACTCCTATTTATAGATCCTTACAAGATATTTACAAGATATTTGCAAGATATTTTCTGATTGCTGGACCTGGGCCTATTCCTCTGTAAGCCTTAGTCACCCTTGATGGGCTTACTCCCGCTCGGCCCATATGGCAGTGTCTTTCTATGGGCTGACCCAGCTGTTCGGACTGAGGGTTGTGTTTTGCGAGTCGGACCCGGCCCATGTCATCCGGGGCCTCCTCAACTGCCCCCATAATTGCCCCTTATTTAATAAGGGGTAATTATTGATGGCGTCTCATCATGACGCTGACGGCTCGAGATAACCACGTGGGGGAGCGGACGGTCAGATCCAGAATCAATGTTCCGGGGCTCGAGGGATTTCTTGCCTTCCCGACGCTTCGGCCCTCGGGCCCCCTCGCCTTTATAATGCTCTAGAATTCCACTTCACTTCTCTTTACCGTCTCCATCATCAGCCAAGTCTCTCTCTTTCTAGAACAGTGCTAAGCCTTTTCCGGTGAAATCCTTCGAGAGTCATTCTTCCAGCGATCTTGCAGTCCTCCGAGGTTAGTTTCGTTCTTTTTACTTTCGGCAGGCTTCCATTTTCCCTCTTTAGATTCTTCTAGCATTTCCACCATGGTTGTAGATCTGGATGTTCTTCGTATGAGACTTAGACTTCCTGACAACATCGAAGTTAGGGTTTGCCCCCAAGACGTTAATATTACGACCGGCGCCGGCCTCCTGCCCGGCGAAGTCTTATTCACGAACCTTCAATTGAATGTTGTTAGGTTCCCTCTGCACCCTTTCTTTAGCTATGTCTTCAATAGATTGGGGATATCCCCTCTGCAGGTCAACCCCAACTTCTTTAGGATCATATCTGTTATGCTCTTATTGATGCGTGACAGAAATCTGGATCTCGACCTCATAGACCTCCTTCTGTGCTATAAGGTCAGTAAGATCCGTACTAACGAGCCCTTCTACCACCTCTACCCGTTCGAGAAGATGTCCATATGCACTAACACAATAAAATCTGAAAAGGGTTGGAGGGATAGCATAGTGGGCATTAGTGGGGCTTGGTCTTCGCCGGCTGCAGAGGATTACCCAATCCCGAGCGCCTTTGGTGTCTGCTCTGTCTCCTCCTATAAAAAATTCAAATCCCATAAACATGACTGCCCCTGTGAAACATGCGTTCCTCGTTTTTGCACTTACTTATGCCGCTCCTTGGGAATACCTTGTGATGACTTGAGCTATAGTGTTTGCAGGGATAGGAGTAACTACTTGAAGAGATACGTTCTGAACGATATTCCTTCCTGCTCAGATCTCCTCACTTCAGACAACCTCTTTGCGCTCTCATCACTCGGCTACAGCATGAGCAGACTGCAGATTCCCTCTTTTGGCAGGAGGAAAAATACTCCCCCAGCCACTCCTGCTGCTGGGGCGACCTCTTCTCCAGCGTCGGCTTCTTCTTCAGCCACCATATCTGACACTGTCCCGAGCGCAGTGGCTACTAACCCTGTTGCCAGCGCCCCTGCTGCCAACCAGAACGCGCCCTCCCCAGCTACCATAGCTCCTGCTGCTGCGGGGGGTGGTCGGGACAAAGAGCGAGGCAAAAGGCCTCATCCTGACAGTGAAATCGATCCGGAGGAGGAGCCTCTCATTAGAAGGACCCGGGTCTCTGGGCCGGGTACTCTCCTGCACCGAGCGATCAGAGCTCCTTCTCCCTCTGGGCCTCCCGCAGCTGGTGGCTCTGCTTCTGCTTCGGGCCCCCCTTCTATCCCCAGCTTACCGCCATGGGCCCCTCGGTACACCCGAACGGATGGGACATTCGTGAAACCGAACGAGACCATGCTGAAGGATGGCCAGACCGCTATGGCCTACTACAGGAGCATGTGGACTCCGAAGGACCTTGAGGCGGCAAAGGGTCTTTCCCAGAAGGACGTGTTCAGTCGCTTTCCCCAATCTGCTATGGAGGTGACTTTTATTTTCTAACTCATGAATTCTCTCATATTACTTGGTCCTGCCTTCGCCCGTTCTGACTATTGGTTTAACCGTTTTTAATGTGCACCTATGCAGACATTGTTCGGGATGATGGCCATGCAGAAGCAGGTGGAGATGGGGAACGCCAGGGCCCGAAAGTATTCTGACAGCCTGGAGGTGGCTAATAAAGAAAACGACCTCCTTGCCATGAAGAATACCGAGGTGCTGGTTCGGCTTGACAAAGCCGAGCAAGAGAGAGATGTCCTGAAGAAGGAGAATGATTCCCTTCAGGATGAGAAGGACGCCCTCCAGCTTGAGAAGAGCGTCTGGCAGACTGAGCGGGAATCAATCAGAGAAGAGAAGGCAGAACTCCAGCGCCTTCTAGCTGATGAACAGTCTGCTCGGATGGCTTTTGAAAAAAGAGCTCTCGACGAGCCTACCGCTCTGATCGACGCGATCAGCAGAGTGGGTGGTGGGATGCTGGCCCTTCACGCTCGGTTCTCCAGGGTTGGTGCTCTTCGGTATGCTCAAGGATTCTGGGAAGGTTTCGCCGACCGGGTTCCGGATGAGGGACAGACCAGCTCCACTCCGGATGAGGTAGACAAGGATCTGGGGATCGAGCCTCTGGGGGTCTATGTCGACCCAGAACCCACCGAAGCTGAACGTATATTTGATGAGTGCCAGGACATCGCATCCTCAAGGATCATCACCGCTCCTCCTACTGCTCTGCCACTGACTGCTCCCCAATCGTCAACCGTGGCTCCTTCTATAGCCACTGCTGACGCTGAACCCCAGCCGAACGATTCAGTCATTCACCTGGATTCCCCACCTCACGAGGGTGAGGCGGCTGATGGGGCCGAGGAGGCGAGTCGGCAAGACCAGGATGCTGTTGGTACTGAGGCGTCTAGCTAGGGCTCCTTCGAATTCTTCTAGTTCATATCTTCTTGTAATGATGGACATCTCTCTTTTGTAAACTCAATGTTCAATATTAATGAAATGACAGAACTCTTTTTCCCTATGTGTTGTGCTTTATTCAACTTATCTTCAGTACATACATATCTTTTCTCTCTTTTTCTTTTTATATTAGCTTCGCCGTGTGTTTGTACGGCAAGTGCCTGGCGCTCGGCTAGAATGCCACTTGCCACTTGGCTTTAAATTTTTAGCAAGTGTCTGGCGTTCGGCTTATAGTGCCAGCTGCCACTTATCTTGCTTAAGTGCCTGGCGCTCGGCTAGAATGCCACTTGCCACTTGGCTTTAAATTTTTAGCAAGTGTCTGGCGTTCGGCTTATAGTGCCAGCTGCCACTTATCTTGCTCAAGTGCCTGGCGCTCGGCTAGAATGCCACTTGCCACTTGGCTTTAAATTTTTAGCAAGTGTCTGGCGTTCGGCTTATAGTGCCAGCTGCCACTTATCTTGCTTAAGTGCCTGGCGCTCGGCTAGAATGCCACTTGCCACTTGGCTTTAAATTTTTAGCAAGTGTCTGGCGTTCGGCTTATAGTGCCAGCTGCCACTTATCTTGCTCAAGTGCCTGGCGCTCGGCTAGAATGCCACTTGCCACTTGGCTTTAAATTTTTAGCAAGTGTCTGGCGTTCGGCTTATAGTGTCAGCTGCCACTTATCTTGCTCAAGTGCCTGGCGCTCGGCTAGAATGCCACTTGCCACTTGGCTTTAAATTTTTAGCAAGTGTCTGGCGTTCGGCTTATAGTGTCAGCTGCCACTTATCTTGCTTAAGTGCCTGGCGCTCGGCTAGAATGCCACTTGCCACTTGGCTTTAAATTTTTATAGTAAACCATTGGAAAAGAAAATTCTTTTTTTGTAAATTCCAGTAACTTGCTCATTCATACGTATTTGATTGACAACAAATAACATCCAATTAAAGCCAGAACTTAGCTTCTATTGGTAGTACCTCTTCAGAGACGTGGCGTTCCAGGGCTTGCTGACCAACTTTCCCGCCATGGTTTCCAACGTATATGCCCCTTTGCCAATGACTTCTGCAATTCTGTATGGGCCTTCCCAGGGTGGCATCATTTTTTTGACCATCCCCACCTTTCTTTTCAGAACCAGATCGCCCGGGGCAAAATCCCTGTGTTTTACTCTCTTATTGTGACTATTCACCAGCACTTGCTGATACGATGCTAGCCTTATAGCCGCTGCGTCCCTCCTTTCGTCTATCATGTCGAGGTTCAATCTTAACATCTTGTCGTTCTGATCTCGACTCCATGCTAAGCTTCTGATAGTGGGGACTAAATGCTCAACCGGTATAACTGCTTCGGTACCATACGCCATTGCGAACGGACTCTCCCCAGTCGGCCGCCTTGGGGTGGTTCTGTAAGCCCATAGAACGTTCGGGAGTTCATCCAACCACTTCCCCTTATGATCTTCCAGCTTCTTCTTAATGCAGGCGAAAATGGTTCTGTTTGTGATTTCTGCTTGTCCGTTAGCCTGAGGATGACTTACTGCAGCCAACTTTTGGTTGATTCCATACTCCTCCAGCAGCTTTCTTACTTGCCTGCTGTCGAGGTTTGTGCCATTGTCCATGACTATTGTTCTGGGAACACCGAAGCGGCAGATAATGTTGTTCCAGATAAATCGTCTCACCTGAGTCTGAGTCACGCTAGGATACGGTTCTGCCTCCACCCATTTAGTGAAATAATCCGTGGCCAGTAACACATACTTGTTCTGAGCTCTTGCAGTTGGCAGAGGACCGACCACATCCATCCCCCATTGCGCGAAAGGCCACGGCGAGGCCATTACGTGCAATTCCTCAGGTGGTTGGTGGATCATTGGTCCATATCGTTGGCACTTATCGCACCTTCGAGAGAACTCCTCCGCATCTCTTGACATGTTTGGCCAGAAATACCCTTGTGTCATTGCTTTATGCGCTAACGATCTTCCCCCAGAATGATTGCCACACACACCCTCATGAATAGCTCGCAATACCTGCTGCGACTCCGCGGGGGTGACACATTTCAAGTACGGGCCAGAATAGGACCTTCTGTACAGCTGGTTCCGCACGATGGCGTACTTGGCAGCATTCTTTTTGAGTTTCCTAGCTTCATCCCTTTGCATAGGCAAAACGCCATCTCGAATATAGGTAATGATTGGGTCAATCCAACTCGGTTCATACGGTATGACGTTGACTTGCCAAGGGTCCGAGTCCATCGGTTCTTCAAAAATGGACGGCTGGGTCACTATTCCCACTGGAATCACCCTCGCCAATGTTTCACCGCAACTCGAAGCACTGCATGCTAAACGGTCTGCATCTGCATTCTGTTCCCTCGGCAACTGTATGAATTCAATCTTTGCAAAGTCCTTGGCTCTACGCAGAACGGCAGAACGATATGCCCCCATCATGTCATCCTTGGTTGCGTACTCACCATTTACCTGCCGAACAATCAGCTGCGAGTCACTATACACTGTCAAACTTTTGATCTGTAGCTCTCTGGCCAACTTTAATCCATTTAGCAACGCCTCGTATTCCGCTTCATTATTGGTGGCTCGGAACTCAAGTCTGAGTGCTTGGCTCAAGGAAGTACCCTCTGGGGTTTGCAGTTTGATCCCAATCCCAGCCCCCATCTGGTTAGAGGAGCCATCCACAAAAAGTTTCCAAGAGCCGCTTTTAAGGTCCTCTTCCGTATCTTCGGCATCACATTCTAGTAGGAAATCGGCCACCGCTTGCCCTTTAACAGCTGTTCTCGGCTCGTACGTTATGTCAAATGAACTCAACTCTATGGCCCACTTTGTCATTCTGCCCGAGAGCTCTGGCTTGTGCATGAGCGTTCTGATTGGGAAAGTTGTTAGAACAGCTATGGGGTGGGATTCAAAATAATGCCTTAACTTTCTTTTTGCATTTACAAGTGCAAGTACCACCCGTTCGGCCTTTGAGTATCTTTTTTCTGCCTCCATCAGTGTTTTGCTTACATAAAATACCGGGTATTGCACCCCTTCCTTGCAACGAATCAGAACGGCACTCGTCGCGACACCAGATACTCCAAGATATAGAAATAACTTTTCTTCCGGTTCTGGGGCTGACAGGACTGGTGGATTCTGCATATATTGCTTCAAATGAGTCAATGCCTATCGTTGCTCATCCCCCCAGACCTGCCTTCCATGGCTCCGAATCGTGTCAAAGAATGGTTTGCAGTGGTCTGACAACTTTGAAATAAATCGACTTAATGCAGCTATTCGTCCTGTTAGGGCTTGCACCTCTCTGATCGTCTTTGGCTCGGCATTCTTAATCAAAGCCTCTGCTTGAGCGGGGCTAACTTCGATGCCCCTGCGGTTGACCACGTGTCCCAGAAACTGCCCGGAACTCACACCGAACGAGCACTTGGTCGGATTGAGCCTCATCCCATATCGCTTTAGTACATCAAATACCTCTTGCAGATGCTTCAGATGATCATCCTTTTTCCTACTCTTTACCACCATATCATCAATATAGGCTTCGACAGTCTTACCCATTTGATTCTTAAAAACTTTGCTAACAAGTCGTTGATAAGTTGCTCCCGCATTCTTTAATCCAAAAGGCATAACTTTGTAGCAGTATGTTCCTCGCTCGGTGACAAAAGAAGTTTTTTCTTCATCTGCGGGGTCCATAGGGATCTGATTATAACCTGAATATGCGTCCAGAAAGGTTAAACGCTCATACCCAGTGGTGGCATCCACCATTTGATCAATCTTAGGCAACGGGAAGCTGTCCTTCGGACAGGCTTTATTCAAATTGGTGAAATCAATGCATACTCGCCATTTCCCATTTTTCTTCTGCACCACAACGACGTTGGACAACCACTCAGGGTAGTGCACCTCTCTGATAAATCCCGCATCAAGCAGCCTATCGACTTCTTCCGCTATGATCTGATTACGTTCTGGAGCAAATCTTCGCTGCTTCTGTTTCACTGGTTTGAAATTAGGATTGACATTCAGGGAATGACAGGATACGGAAGGACTAATTCCAGGCATGTCGAGGTGACTCCATGCAAATACGTCGACATTGTGGGACAAGAAATCCACTAGCTCTTGCTGCTCTTCTCTGGTCAGTCTTATACCCACTCTGGTAGTTCGTTCTGGCCTGAACTGATCGATCTGCACATCCAGAAGGGGCTCCTCGGTCAAGTCGGCTGACTCCTCCACCCTATTCTGCTCGAGTGGAGGTTCCTGTAATTGCTATCTGGGGCTTGTCGACCGGACGGGCGCCTTTCCTTTCCCAGCATGCTTTAGTGTGACGGAATAACACTCTTTGGCTGCGACCTGATCCCCCCGAATGTCTATTACTTTATCTCCATCGGGCCCGAGGCACCTCATGACCTGATGCAGAGTTGAGGGTACACCTCGGACTCTGTGAATCCACCCTCTTCCCATCAGGAGATTATACGAGGGGTGAATTTCCACAACCACAAAAGTTTCCATAAGAGCTCGTTCTGCAGCTTGAACCTCTACTTCCACCATCCCGACGGGTTCCACCCTCTTCCCATCGAACCCTAATAAGGGATTTCCGGTGGGCTTGAGCCTCTCTGGTTTAATGTCGAGCCTGTCAAATGTGTCCCTCGGCATAACATTCGCACTGCTCCCAGGATCGATCAGAACTCTGCGCACCAAGCAATCTGCCACTGTCAAACTGACTACCAACGGGTCGTCATGAGGCAGTTGAACACGCTGCAGGTCTGTCCAGTCGAACTTTATCTGCATTGATGGGCTCTGCTGGTGTAGAGTGGTCACATTGCCGACCCTTTTCTTCATCTGCGCCTGCCGCAGGCGCACCCGTAGCAGCTCATCTGACTCTTCACTAGGCTCGGGTCGACCATGGATAGCATTGATTATACGAACTGGCTGCGAATTGTGGGAGCTTTGTTTATGACTCCTTTTTATTTGTTCCACTGGTCGATTCTGCTCCATCGCCGAGCCTTGAACATAACTCGCAAACTCCCCTCTAGCTATCAACATCTCCACTTGCCTCCTCAAGTTCCTGCATTCGTTAGTTTGATGTCCGAAATCAGAATGAAAAGCACAATGTTTAGTTTGATCCCTCTGTTCGAGGGGTTGTCTAATTGGCAGTGGTGGATGAAACTTGTCTTTGTTCTCCTGATACAGCCTCGCCAGAGTGACCTTCAGCGGAGTAATCAACTCTTCCTCCCTGGACCTTTTTTCGGCCTTCCAGGTGGTCTGACGCTGCGGCTGAGCCTGCTTCTGCCTGATCTTTGCCTTGGACTTTTCCTCGGTTGACACAAGCGACGTTGTCCGAGCATTAGCTGCCTCCTCTTCTTCTAGGCGCACAAAGCCATCGGCTCTCTCATTGAGTTCATCCATGGTAGCCGGCGTGTTCACTACCAGACTGGTGTGAAAGGGAGTTCCGCGTGTCATGGCTAACTTGAAGGCTTGAACTGCCGTAGAGGGGTGGCATTCGATCACCATACTCTTAGTGAGATTAAACCTGGTAAGAAAGGCCTGGAGACGTTCATCCTTGTGCTGCCGCATCGTGAATAGGCTCGAGATGTCCTTCGGCGGGCGTTTGTTCCCATAATACTGGCTTATGAACCGATCGCACAGGTCTCTGAAACTGCTAATGGAGCTCCTAGGCAAGTTTTTGAACCAGCTGAGCGCCGGTCCGGCCAGGCTTGTAGGGAAACATTTGCACATTAAAGAGTCGTTTTCCGTATTCAGGGCCATTTTCAACTGGATATGATACACATGATCGATCGGATCGGTCGTTCCGTCAAACAGAATAAAGACTGGCATAGCAAACTTCCTTGGATGCGGCGCATTCAAGATCGCGTCGGTGAATGGTGAATCCACCGTCCGAGCTGCGGATCGGAGAGCTTCATTCTCTCTCTGGAGTCCAGCGGTAGCTCTGTGAGTTACGGTTCTGCCCTCCGAACCGTGATGAGTGACAGTAACCATGGAGGGCCGGTAAGACGGATCGAACGACCGTTCCTCTATGAACTCTCTTTGCCAAGGCGACGCTACTCGACGGCGATCAACCTCCATCACTTCCTCTCGGTCAAACCTTTCCCGCTGCGGATCAACGTGAGTCGATCCTTCGTGATCTTCAACTCGACGAACATTTGGCGGCAAATTGTCCATCATCCTTTCATCACGGTGGTGAGCTGACTGATTGTTCTCGTCCTGATCGCCTTGATGCGCGATATTAGATGGAACACCTCCTTCTCCGACCGGAAGTGGATGCGAAACCGCAGGTATCTGCCGATGCTGCAGTCCAGCTTTCAATTCTGCATTTTCTTTTCTGAGAGCTTCAATCAAGTTCATCAACTCTTCAAGCTTTGTTTGCTGGACAGCCTCCATCGGATTGGAGCTTTCACCTATCATTATTCCCGAACGGAGTAAAGGCATTAATCTCAAGTTCGCGAGTAGATCTGAGCTTCGTGAGTAGGAATTTTTAGATCTGGCTTCTAATTCTCCGAATTATGCTCACTGTTTACGAGATCTGAATTGTCTGAACTCTAAATCCGTCAGATCCTGCCACAATCGAACAACTCGTGGTTGCGTAGATCCGAGGTCACTCCTGCCAAAGCTTCAAGAATTGTAATTCCTCCAGAGTAGGTCACAATCGCTCAGATCTGGATTCAAATCCCCAAGATCGAGTCTCGATCAACCGAATTGGTTTGAATCCATTCGATACTCCTCATTGATCAACCAAACTTTCATGCGATTCCCACAGACGGCGCCAATTGAAGATGCAAGAAACTCCTACTATTATTTCTCTCTCTAGAATTCTTACACCTCAACCCGAAAAGATCCCTCTCCTCTTCATTCCAACTCCTATTTATAGATCCTTACAAGATATTTACAAGATATTTGCAAGATATTTTCTGATTGCTGGACCTGGGCCTATTCCTCTGTAAGCCTTAGTCACCCTTGATGGGCTTACTCCCGCTCGGCCCATATGGCAGTGTCTTTCTATGGGCTGACCCAGCTGTTCGGACTGAGGGTTGTGTTTTGCGAGTCGGACCCGGCCCATGTCATCCGGGGCCTCCTCAATCATAGACCTAACTTTTTAGTGTCGGAGATCCTTTCTTGTTTTCTGCTTCTGTTCATTGTGTCTACAGTTTACTTGACCTCCTGGGATGTGAAAGTTTCTTTGGTTTGTACTCGGCTACTGACCGGGTCAAGAGATGATTGACCTGTAATAGCTATCACAGTTCGAAACTCTCATGCCCCCAATGCCTACTACGGGGTGGCTCAATGCACTTTTTCTTGTGCTTGTTTTAACCTACTTAAAAATAAAAAAATAAAATAACTAGAATGTTCCTCGTAACCGTGTTTATCCTGTCTATCAGTTCATTCAAATCCACAGGATTAAATAGTAGAATTATTATTCAAAAGCATCAGCTAGTCTAAGCACAAAAATCATCGGCTTTGGGATTATCACCATTGAAATGCAAATCTATGTTACCTGGACATAGGTATGGGACTTGTCAGATCTCTAAACAAAAGGACACATGGACACTGCTAAATATTCATTTTATTTAATTATTTTATTTCATTTTCTAGAGTAAAGTAATGTTATTAGCTAATATAGTGTTCAATATTAAGCATTTAACTCATTTTAAAGTAATAATATAATATAATTGAATGATTGAATATGTTTTTAAGTACATGTCCATCCAAAAGTGTCGAACACATAGATGCAATCATGCAGATACCTCATAAGAAAACTCACCACTATACAAGTTATGGTACATGATCAGCAAAGCACAATGACATTTGCTGGATGAGGGTGGAACCTGTGCCAGTGATACATGCAGCAATAGAAATACTTTGCAAGTAAAAACTTGCTTGCATCGAAATATATGAAGGTTGACTAATGTAGCTAATAATGAATTCAGTAAAATGAAATGACTGAATTATACCATTTAAGGATACAGAATGCGTAATGGATTATCCAGGAATAAACATTGAATGCAGGACAAACTTGCAGTATATCAATTGGTTTCTGGTAAGAATGAGAGGAAAATTCGCTTCAGAATGTTCAATGAAGCAAGTTCTAAGCCACCCTAAGAGAACTATACAATCTCAGTAAGTTTGTTGGACTAGATATGATTTAATAGAATTGAAGGAGAAACATCATTGACAGCATATTCAGATAGAACTCGCCGCTATCTCCCTTTTTCGCATCAAAGTGAGAGCCTTATGTGGGATCCTCGGCAATAACATGTCTGCTAGATCCATATTACGTTTGTTGGATCTCTGTTTAAAGGACAGGTGAGACCACTTCTTTTAATGTAGTTACTTCCTAGGGCACCAAAAAAAAAGCAGCTTAATGGTACAACATTTGCAAGATTTTAACATAAACCTAAGATTAAATTGATATGGTCATTTCCTGTATTTATTTTGATTCAACCCTCTTACTATCAGTTACACCTCTTACGATCAGGTTTCAAGGATACCAACCCTAATATGATCATTCAACTTTTTCCCACATAGCCTCATTCCATTCAAAGATACAGCCAGGATAATATAAAAGGGCTAGCCCAGTGCACGAGGCTCCAGCCATTGCGGATTCTGGGGAGTCAAATGTATGAAGCCTTAGGCCCTTACCCCCACATGTGGAGAAACTGTTTCTGTAATTCGAACCCTTGACCTCCAGGTCACAATGGAACAACCTTGCCGTTGTGCCAAGGCTCACCCTTAGATCCAGGATAATATGACCATACAAAATCAAGGTAAAGACATCCTCCTTTCTTGGTCTAGAAGGTAGGACTAATTCCACCTACCCATCTTAAGAGTTGAGGTATCTCCTCCAGAAGAGGAGATGAAGGGTTAAGTGTCTCTCTACAGGCAAAAAGTGTGTGAGTTGTTTACCTGACCCAAAAAAATTGGTAGCTAAACTATAATAAGCTTCTTCATTACTAAAGGTATTTTATTGGAAGAATAATCAAAGGGAATGGCAGTTGTAGCTAAAGTGAATTAGGACATGCCCTAGAGATTTGCAACTTCCCCAGGTGTTGGTTTTATTCTCCACTTGAACCAATCCCAAGGCTCAGAATTTTTTAAAAAAATAAAATAATAATAATAATATAAATTGGGTAACAGGGTTTGGAGACAGAAGTAACATTCATCCAATCTTTAGAAAATGAAGAAGCTGAAGATTCAATCTGCTTCTGGGAGAGGAGGGAAAACAATCTACTTCTGGGAGTAAAAGATATACCACATAATCACAATGATGTGTCAAACATGTCTGTATGACCTAAAATGAAGTCAATTTAGTATTGTGAAATAAATTATTTCTGTCCCCAACTGATATTGAGAGAATATATATATATATATATATATATATATATATATATATATATAATATATGGTGCTGCATTTAACCCATGAAGATCCCATTTCAACATGTGAACCATGTCTCAGGAAACATTATGCAAAAGAGTAACAAGACTGTCAAGAGATGAAGTTTGGCACTTACATCGAAAAGATTATAATCATAACACTAAAAACAAACAGCATCCAAGTTCTACATCAACTAGCCAAAACCAGTCTAGAGGAAATAGAAATACCATATTGATCAAAATTCCAAAACAGTGAACAATAACAGTAGACAAGGGCAACGATCTACCATTACAGAAGCCTTCCCACTCACTTCATCTTTGCCTCAGTAAACAGAACGTGGCAATTCACCCGAGGATCATATTTCCGGAACTCGAGCTTTGTCGTGATCCTAGCCGGATTCCTCCTCTTCACATAGAAGTATCCAGTCCCAGCAGCAGAGACAAGCTTTATGAAATTCTTCTTTTGATTACCCATTCTTTTACTGAACCATAAAAAACCCAGTCAAATTTCCAAAACCAAATATTCTTAGCCCAAAAAACAATTCAAAAAAGAAAAAGAAACTATAATAATAAACAAATTAATCCATGAATTTTTTTTTCCCTCAACCTGAATTAATCCATGTTTGTGCACAAATTTTGATTCCTAAAGACAATTTTTTTAGCCCATTTCAAATCCCCAATTTGTTGTATTATTCAGAATACCTAACAAATAAGATATATATATATTTATGTACAAACACACATAACACCACACTTGACTATGTAATCATCACCATCTATGATTTATATAGGAATAAAAAAACTTGAAGATTCAGTTTACATAAATTGATGACTGAAGAGTGAGTGTGTGTATATATATGCATACACAAAGAGATATATATAGAACTGAAAGAAAATTATATGAAACGAGTGATAATTTGAGATTTACTGTTCAAATCTTCAGGGTCGCTGGGGTTTATCTAGAGACTTAAATAGTGTTGGTTCTGTTAATGTTTGACAAGACATAATTACCCAAAAGAATTAAATTTATTTCCAAAAGTGTACTTTGTTCGCATGGTGCATGTTATCAGTGACCGTCCCTCACATCACATCCCTCTGCTCTTGAGAGCCCTCTTACACTTCAGTTGGGAGAAAAACTCGAAGCAAAGCTGAGAGGAAAAGGTAAGATTGATCAAACTACTGGTTTTTTCCTATTTGGTTGCTGAGAAATTGTGGGAAGATAAATTAGAAAACTTGTATTCCTCCAATTTTAAAGGTTCTAAATCTTCATTTCTTTCTTGTATTCAATCAGTAAACAAACGGCTTCAATTATTTGTTGTTTGGTCGCTGAGAAATGTGGGAAAATAAATTAGAAAACTTGTATTACTCCAATTTGAAGTATTCTATTCAATCAGTAAACAAATGGCTTCAATTGCTCACTGAAAATTTGTCTCTTTTTTTAATTATTGTTTTGATTGATCAGACGCTATTGAATTGATCAGAATTTGGAGATGGTGAGCACTGTGGATGTGGTGGGAGATCGGATTCCAACAACGGCGGTTTTTATGGCGTCGTCAAAGCATATTGCAACGAAATGCAAGAGCAAAAACATTGCGTTCCTCAAATGCAAGAAGGATGATTTGAACCCTGAGAAATGTCTCGACAAAGGTCACCAAGTCACTCGCTGCGTCCTTGACCTGCAAGTATATATTATATACATACATATACATGTATATGTTCCTATATATGTATATTCATATGATGTACTCATTAAATTGTTGTCACTTGCTTTTCTTTTATTCAAGATGGATAATGTATTGGTGAGGTATTATTCATCTCGAATGTTTTCGAAATCTATTGGTTTTCTATGAAATGCCTTTTGAATTGAAGAGGGTCCTGAATTTCTTATGATTAAGGAAGTAATTGGATTGAAATTAGTGATCAAAGTTGAACATCGTGCATGTTTTGTGCAAAAATGATGAAATTTTCAGTCTTAACAACATTTGAATTTGACAATATGTAGAGTCAGTTTGTGTTGATGTTTTGTTTTCTTTATAATAGGATTGCAATGATTCTTATACTGAGGGCTTGTTCACCTGATTGTTATTTATCTAGTTGTCCATTGTGTTAATGGGATTGCAATATTTTCTTTTTTTAGTAAGAAAACTTTATTAACATGCTTAAAAACTTGAATGTTGAAAGAAGAGGCAGCACTTCAGCGAAAAAATTAAAAACACTACAGACCTAGGATCTATGGAGACAGACGACAACAGGGCAAACCCTTTAGAATCTATACTAGATCAGTAGACTCATCGAAAGAAATAGTGATACAATTCAACATCTTTACACACTACAGCGTCAAGCAGCATTTTCTAAAGCATCCAGTACACAGCATATTAGCAAAGAAATTATGGAAAATTCCTTTCCATTTGGATCTATTTATTTGACTGATATGCCTCAGTAACTGGCAAAGAAGCCAATCCATGATGAACAGTAGAAGTAATTCTGTTTCAAGAGAAATAGTATCTCTGTTGGGACTAAAAAGAATAGACATTTCTACAAATGTGTCATGTTCATGTCTAACCGTTGTTGGATACCAGCACTTCATGAATTCTCTTGGCCAAAATATTCTAGACACTCCCAAACACAAATCTTATATAGTAAGAAAAATCTTAGACGAAGTCATGTTCTACAATCTTGAAAATACGAGGTATGCATCCCAAATATCTACTTTTTCTTTCATCAAGGAAAGTGGCATTCACTTGTTAGTAACCGAAGTAGGGCCATATGAGATCATAGTCAATTGTCCTCCATTCTTTCTCTGTTCAACAATTGCTATCGATATGCACTTACTTCTTTACATAAGTCTTTCATCATGCACATGGTCTTCACAAGTCAAGTAATTGATACTTTTTAACATAGTGCAAGAATATAATTGTAAAATTATGTCGAAGATTAGGCCTATTTCCAGTCTTTTGCTCCCGACACCCTGTATAAGTGTGACATATACTGTATAATGCACTTTCATGTAAATAAAAAATTAAAATTTTTATATGGCCATGTATACAGCATGTCTCCAACCTTACCAGGATTTGATGTGTTGACATGTCCATGTCTTATTGTTTTCATGTCCCTTGTCCATGTCGTATTGTTTAAATGTCCCATGCCTCCATCTGAGCTTGTGCCACTTGGGATAGAATTTCTAAGAATCCTCTTTTTTGCATTCTCATATGCTGTGAATGGTGGCTCTTATCTGTAGTTTGCAAACCATTATGTAAAGATGTACCTTCTATAAATTACTTCCCAAGCTATAGTAACTTACCATCAACCCTATGGTCATCAATCATGATAGACCATTTTTTTGTGATGTCAGTATCCACGCCACATATCAATGAACAGCTAAAAGCTTAATGTTCATGATATTCTAGTACTGCTCTGCATAGTACAAATTAGTGGTTCCAATGGGACCATCTCCCATGAGCCTGTTTTGAGTAGTTACTACTAAACCTTTCTTTTAGTCCCTAATAGAACCATGTACCAGAAAGAATGATGCTGAGATGTAAAATGATCATATTTTCAAGAGGATTCCCCTATGACTTCCCAATATCATTTAGAAGTAGGTAGGTTTTGTTCTCGAAGTATATCATCTAAGAAGCACGGAAACGGATACGCAACAAGGATTCGGCAACACGGCAAATCCTAAAATATTAGGACATGGACACGGTGGGGACACGGCAAATAAGAAATATATTTTCTACATGTATGATGTTGTACTCTAAGCAATTAAGAGTAATATTAAATTTTACAATCTCATAATGAGAAAAATAAATAAATAAATAAATTTGTTTTTTGCAGGAAAAAAGAAAGAATGATAGAAAGAGGGTTAAAGGAAGGGGGGGGAACAAAGAGGATTAGGGTTTTGTTAGAAAAATAATTAGGCCTTAGTTAAAAATAAAGGTAAGAATGAAGAGAAATAAGTCCATGGGGAATAGAGGAAAAAGGAAAAAGAGACGAAAAGAAATTTATTGTGAAAGGAAAAAAATAAGTATTTAGGGTTTGTGTAAAACAAGAAGAAGAAAGAAAAGAGGAAGAAGAATAAGAGAGAAAAAAGGAGAGAGAGATCGAAAGACCATTCACCGAAAGCGAAGCTTGGCTGATGGGACAACAAGAGAGTTGAATATGATCGTGCAAGAGTTCGAACCGTTGAACTAAAATATAAGAATAAATATCTAATTGTTTGAATATAAATTGTCTTATGAAACAAGTTTTTATGTAATTGTGTAATTAAACAACTCCTAATATTTACAACATTGTTTCTAAAATTTTCTTAAAAATCTCCAAAGAGTGGGGCACGCGTGTCGGACACGTATCCATGGCATGTCGGAAGCGTGTCCAAGGCGTGTCCGAATATTCGAAAAAATATAAAATATTCGGACATGTATTTTGGCGTGTCCGGTGTGTGTCGGTGTCCGACATAGATTCTTTGCCTCTTTAGGCGTGTCCGTGTTTCCTAGTATATCATCTACATTGGATTTTTACTTGTTCACTTGGTACTCAAAAGATGAATTACAAAACGTCATGACATTTTCTTTGTACGGTTTGTTTTTCCAATTTGGAGGTATTTTACTTTAGAGAGAAACATGAAGTAAATTTTGCTCTCAAAAGCAAAATATGTAAATTGAAAATGCTACCCAGATGGTGCCTACATTAATTAGGGTAATGTTCTTATTTTCAGTTCACTTTATATCACATGTTATCAAAGTATCATGATAGGACGGTGAATTACTTAGTTGATTGAAAGCTGAGCTTTTTTCACATTTTTCTTTTGTGATTTTTTTCTTTTTCCTTCGAGTTGGTTTGAGATTTTTTGGAATATTGAATTGTTAATGTTTTCATTCAACTTCGTGTGTTCTACTTGTGTTGTGATTGTTGGTTCTAGTGAGGTGCTGAGTATGACACTGGTTTAAAGGTAGACATGATTTATATTTACCTTAGATGTAAGCTTCATAGCTAGGCTTAAAGTATGTTGTGTACCTGCAGAATTTATGAGACACCACTCATCTACTATGCTAATAGCTATTGTGACTTACTTCTTCTTAATATAACTATTTAGGCTTTTATTTGGAAATACGTCAGCGAGGATTTTAGTCACTAAATAGCATTAAGTTTACTTGATTAGAACCTTAGTGGTTTCAAGCTAAAATTCAGAATAGCAACAAAGTTCGAGGTCAAAATAATGCAGGCACTAATTGAATTCATTTTACGAAGAATTGATTCTGATATTCTAGTTTTATTATTGTTTTTTAGGGTAAATTACTATGACCTCCCCAGAGGTTTGGCTTTTGCACCATTAAATTAAACTTTCGCATAAACCACTCTGATACCCCTTTCAGAGTTCAATAAAAACTCTAAACTTCAAAAAACCGTTAACGCCTTTTTACCATTTTTACCATCAATACAATCATATAAAAATACCAGTGATTAATAAATAAGAGTCAAATTACAAATTTGTCCTCTGTTAGCCTCAATATTTCCTTTCCTACACCCTTCTTGTCCCTTTTTGAAAAAAATTCAACTCCATTTCTCATTTCCTTCTCACTAAAACCTCACCACCTCCTATCACCACCACCACTGCCCCCAATCTCTCTCCTTCTCTCACCACTGCCACCGCCATCTTCACCTGTTCAAATCCCCCTTAGCCTCTCTCTAAACCCTCACCTCCACCGCCACCCACTGCAAGTCTGCATCCCCATTCTCTCTCTCTCTCTCTCTCTCTCTCTCTCTCTCTCTCTCTCTCTCTCTCTCAAAATATCTGTGTGTGTGACAAAACTCCAATGACTATTGAAAGATCTGAAATCAAATAACGGATTCAACAAGGACGAAATCAAGCCAACAGAGAAGTCATCCACAAAAACACCGTTGACAAATTGAGTATCGACCTTCCTTCGTCTTGCACAACAAAAAAGCCGACTTCAGAGTTTGGTCTTTCTCATAGGCCACTGACATGCAAGCTGCAGCAATGAAACCCCATTGCTGAAGGCTTGAATTTGCGAAACCCCAAATCTAAAACAAAACCAAAGAGACGCAAATGGACAATTTGGTAACCCGGAAAGATTTAGCATGAAATTTGATAAAATAAATAAATAAATAAATAATAATAATAAGAGTAAAATAGGGCACTTGCATTGATTTAGAAAGGTTTTCAGTAGGTGTACGGAGAAGATGATTGCGATATCGGATTTAGAGGGAAGGCAGAGCAAGAGATATGACAAACTAGTAGAGAGAGATAGAGAGAGAGAGAGTTGGTAGCAGTTGGGATAAGGTTGCAGTGATGGCTTAGAAGCTGTGATGAGATGTAATATATATTTATCATATTACATAGTGAAGAATCTGTCTTTTGAAAGAAGAGATAACCGTGTAATTTTGCAGCTAAAGGCCATCTCGGTGTTCAACTAAAAGATTTTGACGGCACTACCGTTATTTTAACGGTCAGGAGTCTAGCTGTATTTTTTACCAAGCCTCAAGGGAGGTTGATTACAATTTTGACCAAAGTTTATTTTTAGACTGCAAAAGCAAAACCTCAAGGGTCAAGGGGGTAGTCTAGTTTGTATCTAGTGACAATCCAGGCGCAGCCATTAGTTAAATTAAAATGAGGAATTTCTCCTCACCATTTTTTGATGTTTAACTTGACAAAACACATCAGTGGTGAAAATAATTTTGCACACAGGTGCTTCATGTGCATCATGGTAAATTGCTTTTAAAATATTATACAGTAGTTCTTCATCATTATGAATGCTACTAATCTGAGGAAAATGTTTGATATTTTTCATGCTTCAAGCCACACTACTAAACCTTAAAAGGATTTTCCATATTATATGAATGTATTTTATTTTTTTGTATAATGAATAATTTACAGAAATTTTTAATCCTGTCTCTCAGCAACCATACAAAACATTAAGGTTTACATTAGTCTCCAAGTGAATTCTGTTACCAGAAAAACCTGGAAAGAGGTTTTAACAGTGCTTTGACCACATCAATATTAGGAAGATAAAATCCACAATCAGAAAATGCCCCCAAAAATCTACACTTAATTATAAATAAATAAAAGAAGAAGAATCAGGTAAATGAAGAATAATAAACACTAACTAGGCAGGGCCGGTCATGAGATTCCAAATATTTTGAGAGGCCCTAGGCAAACTTTCAAATGTGAGACCCTTAAGTTTCACACATGCAAAAAAAATTATAAGAGTGCGAAATTTTCACACGATGTTTTCAAATTCTATAGCTAATATAATTGTGTGCCTGTGCATTGTGCTTAAGACAACTAACTAATAACTAGAAATTTATTACCACCAACATATAATTGTGCGCCTGTACAGTGTGCATAAGACAACTAACTAATAACTATAAATCTATCACCACCAATAAATAATTGTGCGCATGTGCAGCGTGCTTAAGACAACTAACTAATAACTATAAATTTTCTATCACCACTAATAAATAATTGTGCACCTATGCAGTTTGCATAAGACAACTAACTAATAACTATAAATCTATCACTACCAATAAATAAGTGTGCGCCTGTGCAGTGTACATAACAGGTAACTAATAACAATAAATCTATCAATTAAAGAGTGCGAAATTTTCACAAATTTATAAGAATGCGAAATTTTCACAAATTTATAAGAATGCAGAATTTTCATTAATATGCGATGATAAGAACATAAAATATATTAATGTTCAAAACACACAAAAGAAAACCCGGTCTTGGTGCTTTAAAAAGAGCACGATCAGCTTACATCAAAAAATTAAAAGGAAATATTGAACACAACTTTGTCACAAAAATCAAAATTCAACTTTATATCAAAGTAAATGTTCAAGGCAAATAACCTCACGAGATCCTAGGAAGAGTGTCCTCAATATGCAATGATTTGATTCAAGTTCAAGGAAAAATTACCTGGCGAGATCCTAAGAAGAGTGTCCTGCTAGCAAGCCTAGCATGTGAAAGAAGATCACAATTAACATAAAACGGATGGAGAATCAAACGGAAACAATAATAACTAAGCATTGCCGATAATACAATAAATATAATATAAAAAAAATCTAAAATCAAGCAGTTTGGTCGAATGATCTCCTTGCTGGAGTTTTCACCGGTGTGTGTTTTTGTGTGTTTTTTTTGCGAGCCAATTACCCCTTTCTTGATTTCAGGATGAGGAATCAACTTTAGTAGCAGTGATTGATCGATCATTGCTACAGAAGATCTGTGCAAATTAATAGAAAAAATCATTAACTTTTGTTTTGTTAAAGCCTGCTCTTGATTTCCATGTGTTTGTACATTCTGATGGCAAGTGCTTTGAGCCTTTGACAGTATTATTAAATGAAATTCTAGCTGAGCCAACTTCAAATAAAATCAATAATGGCGGTATGTATCTTCATATAAAAAAAAATAAAAAAAAAAACCCTTAATTTGGCACTTTTAAGTATGAACATAATTTAGAGATCGAAATAAGTTAATTATTACCTCAGGTCCTCAACCCACTAGAAGGGATCCTTATTTTTCGTAGGAGTGAATGTGAAAATGCAAAAAATTACGAGGAAAAGGGGTATGGTTGCTGCTGTTGTGAGATTGGAGTGGACTTAGGGAGAGGAAAAAAAAAAAAAGAAGATCGATTCATGCAAAAGGAGAGAGAAGAGAGAGAGAGGATGAACATACCTTGTCACGGTGGCTGCGTCCTGCGGAGTGTCGAAGCAGATTGATTGTAGAGATGGAGGAGCGTCTGTGAAGGGCAGTAAAAGATATTGGGACTTGAGTTTGAAACTTTTACCTATAGAAGAACCATACAACCAAACGACGACATCTCGCCTCATCAGTTTCAATTTTCTTTTTCTTTTTTTCTTAAAAAAAAACAATCTATATCTATATCTATATCTATATCTATATTTATATTTATATCTATACTTATTGTAAAAGTGTAGCTAATTTCTTAATATATATATTTTTTTTAACAAAAAAAGTCACATTAAATAAAAACACATAATAATTTAATTCAAATAAATTGAATAGCCCAACAGTTTCAAAAAGCTTTAAACTCACGAATATTTTCATTAAATGTTTTAAATACTATTTTTATGATTTTTAATTCAAATGAATTGAATTAAATGGTTCAGCTTTTTTCACAAAAAAAGTCACATTAAATAAAAACACATAATAATTTAATTCAAATAAATTGAATAGCCCAACAGTTTCAAAAAGCTTTAAACTCACGAATATTTTCATTAAATGTTTTAAATACTATTTTTATAGTTTTTAATTCAAATGAATTAAATTAAGGACAATACTTGCCTGCTCACCGGTGAGTAGGAAGTTCTTGCTTACCAATGATGTGGCGCAAAAGTAATATGACAAGTGTCCATAAAATAGAAAATTAAAAAAATTGAATGTTTATTGGGTCAACCCAAAAGGATGCAAATTAAATCCTAATTTAACTTTCTCCCTCTCAAACTATTCTGCTAAAACTAATTTGCTAATACTGTAAGTTTTGACTTTTATCTTTCATGGTTTAATGTGTAATCCTTACATATACTTATCAATTGTTTTTAAAGTACACCCAATTATATAAAATCTGATTCACGTGGTTTGATAGATGATTTGTTGATTGTAAGATAAATAAATATCTATGTATCATTACATTTATAGTTCTTTTTTCTATTCATCATCCACAGCTTTGTTTGTATATTGTCATATTATTTTTATTTAAGAATATTAGCTTAAAATGTTTTTTTTTTTCCCTCTAGATCCCCTTCTCATTCACTCCCTAGATAAAAAGAGAAAATCAAAGTTGCGTAAAAGAGAGGGGAGAGAGAGTTAGATTTGGATCATATTGGGTTTAATCCGAATAACCTCTCAGCTACTCTATAATTCTAAAGTGACTTACCATTTTCCATTATATCTATATATAACAGCTATTACATTCTAAGTTAAATTATCTATAAATATATATACTACGTATAAAAGTGCAAGATGCCTCTATCTAATTTAATTTCTTAATATTTTTAATTTCTTAAAAAAAAAAAATCTTAAAATTATATTTATAGAGTGTAGCTAATTTCTTAACATTTTTGAATTTTTTTTTTTCACAAAAAAAGTCACATTAAATAAAAACACATAATAATTTAATTCAAATAAATTGAATAGCCCAACAGTTTCAAAAAGTTTTTCAAATACACATAATAATATAAGTCCACGCAAGTCTTGTACCCAGACGTCTCATTAATTAAAACACATAATAATATAATTCAAATAAATTGAGTTGCCCATCCGTTTCAAAAAGTATTAAACTCACAAATATTTCCATTAAATGTTTTAAATACTATTTTTATGGTTTTTAATTCAAATAAATTTAATTAAATGGTTCAGCTACCCGAGAATTCTAAAGTGACTTACCATTTTCTATTATATCTATATATAACATGCATGCAAGCATGCAAATGCATCCACAGGTTTCAACATCTTTTATTTGTATAGTCTTTTATTGTTAATTTCTATAAAATTTGTGTTTTTACTCCACCATTTTCTGTGTGATACACTGGTATCATCTCCTTCATAAAATTGTTGCAGTTTTTTTTTATTATTATTATTATTATTATTTTTATGGAAGGTGTTTCAATCAAAGTGGACAAGGTGAAAGGTGATTACTTGGCTCAACTCTTCATTTGATTCTCATGTTGCAAATTCAATTTTAAAATATGAAATGAAACTTGACTAATAAATTAATAATAGTAGTTTGACATACCCATTTTCTCTTGTTTTTGTGTATTTTGGATTAATCAATAACGATATGTTGGTTTTAATTGACATCATTTTAATTAACATTATTTGTGTGCCTTATTCTTTATTATTATGTTTCTCTTTGTTTCATGAGTGTTACCATAGAACCATGTTTAATTTGTTTTTAATGTAAATTATTTTGAATCTTTTTCTTTATTTTGTTTTGTTTTGTTTTGTTTTTAAAAAAAAAAAAAAATTCAAGAAGAAATAAGCTTAAATTGATTTCCAATTCAACTATATAGTAATTCTACATATACATGGAAGCATAAATAAAAAATTGAAAAATCGATTGGTTTGGTTGGTTAAACTGAAAATTTTATATATTAAAAATTGTAATACAAACTTTTACTTTAGAGCTTCGGGCATTTCAAATAACAGTGTTAGATTGTTTCAAACCTTTGATATATTTTTTTCAGACCTGTTAAGAAATCATTTATAACTAATTCTAAGACTAATAATTTCCCTATATTTTCTCATAACCATTTCAAATGCCTGAAGCTTTATAATGGTGAATTGTGTGCTTTACTGGGATGCAACAAACGTTTAAAAGGGATGAGTGATGAACCACTGAGGTAAGATTTTTTCTTGTATATGCTCCTAATCTTGTATTTTGTGCGTGGTATAACTATTGGTAAATTATATCTATTGGTAAATTATATGCTTCATATGACATTTAATATATAACAAATCTTATACTAATATGTCATGAGATAATTAATAATATGTTAAGAAATCATTAATTAAATATGCAAAATAAAGTAATAAAATAATAATAATAAATAAATATAGAACCTGGACCGAGGCTAATATTGGATACTATGTCCTTAAGACAGATTCGCCCCGCTATGGTGCTAACGGACTCAGTGGCGTCTATCTCCCAAGATACAACGGTCTACATCCACCAGTAGCAGCACTACAAACTCGTGGATACGGCGAACTTCTTCCGTGTAATACTCTCTCTAACTCAAAAATGCATCTATACTATATAAATACTGAATTAGATGCAATCCGAACCAAATAGTTCGGACCAATCTTAACATGACTCGATGAAATTGGATTAGGGTCTAAGTGGTTTGGATCACTTAACCTATGGTTTGAACCCACTTGGATTGGGTTCAAGTCTAGAGAGGAAGATAGAAGAAAAATGAAAAATGAACGATTTGCAAATGATCCAAAAGGGGGTATTTATAGGCAACAAAGTGTCTTTTCGGGTGGGTGCAACTCTTTGGAAAAAACTAAAAAATAGTTTTTAAGTAAGGTGCCTTTTCGGATTGGGTGTGTCTTTTCATCATTGGACACAACCATTTATATGTGTTTTTTCATCATTAGACACAACCATTTATACATGTCTTTTCACACTGGACACAACCACTTCAATTGGTTGCAATGGTTCATTTGGTGTTTGTTCACCAATAGACACATCCATTCTAATAGGTTGCAATGGTTCACATGGTGTCTGTTCACCAGTAAACACATCCATTCTAATATGTTGTAACCCTTTAGAACCAGATACAACTCTTTGAAAATAGATGCAACCCTTTAAAAATAGATACAACCCTTTAAAAAAAAAACTAACTTTTAATTTAAATTCAAAAAACAACCACCCATTTAAATAAGCCCAGCCTAAAATTAAAGATTCAATCCAAGATTCCATTTAGTAAAAAAAATAATTGGACTTTACAATTAGGCCCAAGCCCAAGCCCAAGCCCAAGCCCAAGCCCAAGCCCAAGCCCAAATTAGGCTTATTTAAATTTCAATTGGTTTCAACATTTTTTCCATGTGAGACAAACACTTCCCACATTTTGCATACCCATTTAGGCTTATTAAAATACCACACTTTGGAGCTAATTTCTCATTTACCCGGAAACGGATTTGAGAAAGTAAATATACCACGTTCATCTCCTTGCGGAGAGAAACGCGCTCATCTAGAGATCCGCAAAAAAATTCTTAGCGGATTTTATTCCAAATCTTATCCAAAATTTATGTTTTTATTGCCCCCGTTTCCAACAGTAACTTCTCCCAAAGACATTTAATTAACGACTTTTTAATGGTTCTTACAATGATTTCATTAAAAATACTAGAAGGTTAATTATAGTGTAATAAATCAAGGTTTATGATCTACTCCGGGTAAAGATCTGCCCAATTTCGATTTATACATATAGGACAAATGTTCCCACTATCACTTCTTTTTGCTATGACTCTATTTTTTTAATTTTTTATTATCAATTCATTTCATGCTTTCCGCCAAACATTTTATGTATTTCTCTATATTTCATTTCTCAATTGATTAAGAGTTTGAATGTACAATTGTCATACCAAATGTTTTATTTCTTATAACTTGTTACCCTTATTGGATATAAGCTATTGCACTTTATTTTCTAAGGTAAAACATATAAGGAGATTCGTCAATTTTCAGTTTATTAATTTAAAATATTATTTTAATTGGTATTTTTTTGTAGTAAAATCATTATAATTGCTCTTCAATTTTGGTAGGTAATTCATATGATAAAAGTTACTTTTTGTAAGACATTGTATGTTACTCGAGTACTTTTGAAAGATGATTAACCTTGTTTATCTAATTAACTTTTTAAAATGTTTAATTGTTTTGCTGATTGGTTTCATGTGCTATATATATTTGAATATGATGGAGATTTAACACAATTCAAATGGAGAGTTATACGATGGATGACTAAATGTGGCGATGGGATAGGATGTGAAAATCCAGCAAATAAATGTGTTAACAGTGAAGGGATTGAAGCTGAAGAAATTATATTCGAATTATATTAATTATAAATAGAGCTAAATATATATTAACAAGTTGTTTTTTTATTTGATATTCATTTATTACTTGTAAGAATTTTTAGTTAAGTTATTTTATCAATTATATATATTTTGTTTTCAAACGTAGAAATAATTATTTTTCTTTATTATACAATAAATTCAACTATAATTTTCATATATTAACTTAAATTCATAAGTGATTGCATATGTTTTTTCTTCCTTTGATTTTTAATTTGGTTTATTAATCTTGTTTTGAAGATAAGGAAAATGTGGTACTATCACTAATATATATTGACTCTTCTTCTATTATTTATAAGTTTATATGTTTTTTGTCAGTAATATTTTGTAGAAAAAATACATCCAATTTAAAATTACACACACACACACACACATATATATATAATATTGATAAAACTACAATTTAGTGACATATATCATATGATATATAATCACATGCATAGCACGTGTCTTTTCCTAGTATATATATATATACTCTCCATATATCAACATTTTTTATTTTTATTTTCACATAAAAGTATTTATAAATAATTTATTTTAATAATTAAATAAATTAAAAACAAAAATACTTAATGATTTTCTCTATTTCTTAATAATTTTTAATTCATAAAAGTCTCATTAAAATCACATGTCCACCACCCATTCCATTTTAGAGTGAGATCCGCGACTCTTGCCAGTTCCCCATAAAGAAAGAGAGTATGTGCAATTACACTTTATCTTGCCTACGCTACGAGATTCGCAAGTACCTTTCTTACCGCACCCGAAGTTGTAGATCGTTTTAAATAATGCCATCATCTTTTCTCAGCGAAAAGGTTATTTGATTTATTCCATTAATCTACAATATTCCGGAAAAGGGAAGAAAAAAATTTAGAGCTCTAATTCACAATATTCCAAAAAATAAAAATAAAAAACGAATCCTATTTTTTTACCATTACTTCTCAGGTCAGACGGTAGAATTACTGTTTCAGGTTTTGAATAATTGACCTTCTTTGTGTTTATTTTTTAGACAATATGGTGATGAGCCAACACCATAATAATAGATTGTGGACATTATAATTGAAAAAATGGACACTATACTCATAGTTTACGATGTTCATGATGTGCTATATGGTTCTTAATTGATAGAATTAAGTCTGACCTAACATAATGTTGATATAATTGCTGTTTTAATTGTGTACTCAATGCAACGTAACCTTGTTTCGGTGGGATATTTTCTAAAATCTAATAAATTGTTATTTTTTATCAATCTACCAAGTTTTTATTTTTTATTTTCTAAAATAACAGACAACAGATCCAACCTCTGTGAAAAATAATCTGCAATTTGATTGGAAGAGCCTTAAACCCCATCAACCCATCATAATCGAACTCGGGTTAAACCCGGGTGGGTTGAGCTATGATCGAATCCTCAATGCACCAAGTTGCACCCGTAACCATATTTGATATATATTATAGAGTCAGACACACAAATAGACATACTCTCAACTGGTACTTAAAACGTCCAATGTGAACTCCAGTAAATCGTGTTAACAAACCCACACGGGAGATTAACAACAAAGCCAGTCATAGGAACTGTTGAATAAAAGCTTCAATGCAAACTTCTTAAAACATTAGATACTCCCATCTGACAAAAATTCGAACTCCAACAAAAATAAAATGACACTAACATCAGTCACAGTAACTTAAGTCTACTAAACTGTCCTCTTATAGTTTCAAGCTTACAATCATTATATAGTGCAAATATTGCCGGAGCGCAACTGAACACTTTACAAAAGAACCGCAAGGGCAGAGCCACAGGGCAGCAACATAACTAGCGAAGAACCATCAGCGAGGACTGCACACCAAGAACGATGAATAAATTAGATCAAGGAAATTCTTTCAGCCAATCAGAAACAGTTAAGCACACACCAAAAGCAGGTTTCACAGAGGGCATTGAGCTGATAGTGAATCTCATGATGCCACCACCCTGATGGAACCTCAAGACTTCTTGTACTTTACATTTTTCCCAGTCTAAACGATTGTACTAGGGAAAAGGTACAAAGGTACAACCGGTGTTGGAATGTAAAAAGGGTTATCCTCCTCAAAGCAAGCATAATGTGTCTTGAATCCATTGGGTGTGTGTACTTGGACACTGGACTTGTTAATTGGGTATGGAAAACCGCACAAATGACTAGTCCTTTGGATGCGAAACCAGCCTTGTGACAGGTATCATAGCCGCTACAGGTACTACAATGTGGCTTGAGAGAACTGTTACGTAGGTCCCACAGAGAAATGTGGATCCCCATCACAAGTGCACAAGAGCCCAGCCCGGGGTCTGTCACAACACATAGATGTGTTTCGAGTTCCACATCATGTGTGAACTAGATGGTCATGGACTTCTTAAGTGGGACAAAGAAACCCCACAAATGACTAGTCCTGTTAGGTGTGGAACTGGTCCTGCCACAATAAGTCTTGAAACACAAAGCACGTATTGAAAAAATGTTAAGATTGATTGATACATAAAATTAGAAAAACACAAGTATTTAATTATATACAGGGAAGACTGAAGAGTAGTGAAAAATAATAACAAAATAAATTCAGAAGATGTAGTCTAGCAAAAAAAAATTCAAATGTCATAAAATAAAAGAAATTTCTAAAAGCAGTCAAACTTATTGTTGGTTCAATCAGTTGCTTAAACCCTTCAAATTCAGACATAAAACAAGTCTCATGACTACCATGAAGCATGAGTCTTCAGTTAATTAACTAATTGGTCCTTTGCCTGTATGTGTTTTGCTTAAGCCTCATAGATAGGAAAATGTCAAATTTGTTATCATCCTGTCATAGATTGAGATATGAAAACACAAGTACCTATAGGATCGAGAGCGATTCTGGGTGCTTCCTCTTGGACTGTGTGACTTGCTGGGTGGATGAATCCTCTCACCGTGAGGACACCGAGCATTCTCTCCCGGACTTGGATACCTGCGGTTTGACCTGTAATTTATCTCATCGCGTGGAGAAAGAGACTGTGAAACGGATCTAGACTGCCTTGAGGACCCTCGGTTTGCCTTGTTATTTCTCTCATTGCGTGGAGAAACTGACCGCGAATTGGATCTAGATCGGCGTGGAGAATAATAATCATCCCTTGCCCTGGAGCCCCTGTTCCAGTGAATAGGAAACAAAAAAAACTATGAATAATTTTAAATGTAAATATCACGAAATCAGAAATAGAACACCAATAGATGAATATGAACTGAAAATACAACAGACTAATTAAAAGTATCTCTAGTTTCTCACAAGATATAATCTTTTTCCAAATCAGAATTATATACCAAGTCCACAAAACAACAATTTCAGCACAAACTTAATCATGAAAATATATTCTGTATTTTGTCGAGAGAGTAAGAGAATTTTCACTGACACCCTGACTAGGAAACCCAAGTGATTGGAATATGACATTTACCTGCCTTTCAGAGTTTCTGCACAAAAATATGAAACTTTGATCCAAACACTTTTTAAGGCTTTATAATGGCATACTGGGTTGATCAGCATCTGATAACTTCATAGCTCTTCTCGCCCAACTTTTTAAAACCTCATACTATCTTTTCATGGACATTTTCATCATACCTCAACCGCTAAAAACTTTGAATGGCTTCCCTTCTTTGAAGATGATTCTTTCTTTGGCCAACTATAAGCTTTAAATTATTTATTTAACTGGATAGTTTACAACATCAACTTATCAAACTTACAATTTTTTTTAAGAAAGAAAATTGATGTTCTTTTGTGATTGTGATCATTCAACACACCATGTTTAACTACTTGGTTCGATTAGGAGCTAGAAAATCTACAAGCCAAATAGCAGATGATAGGAAAGCCCATGTAATTTAGGTTATAGTTGATGAAGGTGAATTTAGTATGAAACTTCTGGAGAGACTTTGAAGAAAAGGTAAGCAAGCAATCTTCTACTTTATGATCCCTCTCTCTTTCTCTTTATTAATTCTGAATACTTTAAGTCTCTCTTTTTCACTTAGAATCTGCATGAACAAGGCCATCAGCAGATGTCATTCAAATTCAATAAAAAACAGAAGAAAGTGATATTACACTAAGAGAACAATATATGTACTTTGAAGAAACTACAGTAACAGCTCATTAAGGTTAAATGCTAGGACTATACAAGTCCTTGCAGAAAAAGGAAGCAAGGAAATTGAGATTATCCCAACTGTATCCAAAAAAGAGAGAGATTAAAGAAAAATGAAGCGTTTTCAGCTAATAGGAGATCTAATTATAATTTGGTTCAGCAAACTTCGCATATTTGGGGATTTAGCTCTCAGTCAAAACAATATAATTAAGATACAAGAACAATCTAGAGTACTACACGAGCAATTGCAAACAAAAGAAGTTAAAAACAAAAGCACAGACAAAAAGACATTCAAAACAAGACATAAGAGTAAATTTACTCCGAACGAAGGGACCAACCTTACTTAATCAAATAAAACAAGAACCTTCTCCCTTGGGAAAGTAAGAAGTGAAACGAGAATCAACAGACATATGCAGCAGATAAAAATATTAGCCATCAGCCAATCCCCCTACTCTTTTCCCAGAAAAAATAAAAAAGAAAGAAAATAAAAGTTTTAACTTAGAAAGAAAAGTTCTGCATTCGATACAAAGGCATATTGAATAAATGAACAAAGGACATCAAAACACGCTTACAGTTAAACTACATCTCTCCCTTTTCTGCAGACGGAGGGAGGAAGCAGAATTTCATTCCCAAGGGTGATCTTTATTTCTTATTACTATCCTATTTTGTTTTCCATTTCTCATCAAACAAATTTGGAAATTTCATCATTTCTAATACCGATTGATTGGAGAAAGACATTTGTGGATTACTATAATTAAATCAAACAAGCACAACTAGATCAGATGGAACATGGCAAAAGACAGAGTGGTACTGCATCATTATCTCCTTTTCAAGCAATGATTATGTAATTTCTAGATAGAGAAAGAGAAATATGAGAAATGATTGGGTTTCGATCTTGCAATACATGAGATTACACCCAGTGAATTACAAGATTTTGCTTCAATAACACAATATCAAGACAAGATATTGCTTGATAATTCCTTCAAGTGCCTAAAACCAAAAAGTTTCAGTGATCACCTAGCAAGTGCTTGTGAGAAAATATTGTTATCACTTTAAAAAAACAAATTTACTTATGAGGGAATCTGGATTTTAAATTCAGAGAAATGAAACCACACTCAGTGGAAGGTGCTTTAAAATTCTTCTTTCTTATTGACAAATTTACCCATAAATTTTAGGGCTAAAAAGTCTTTTAGTACTACCAATTCAATACTAAATCTTTTTAGGACTAAATTTTAAGTTTTATGAAACAGAAACTTAATGCATTTTTAAATAATGAAGCTAATAATACTCCATATTTATCTATCCTTTATTAGGAACGACAGCGTTTATTTTCTTACCTTTGTTTTCTATCCATTTACCAATTTGTAGAGATATTATATTTACCAAAATAATGGAGAGAAATTAATATTTAGTTCACTAGAGTCTCACACAATCCCAATGATGGTTTTAACTATATCCTCATGTAGATCGAATATCTTTCTCGATTGCATTTATGGAACAGAACTAAAGAGGCGACATTGTTTTTATAGCATTTAAAACTAACCCTTTTTAAAAATAATAATTGTTCAAAATAAGAGACTTCAGTGAATTCTCTTATTAGAGAGAGAGAGAGAGAGAGAGAGAGAGAGCCTAAAAAACTCTAGAAATGAACCCTTATTTATTATATTTTACAAAAATGGAGACGGCCAAACTTAATAAAAATATATGGCGATGGCCAAACCAGCTTTTGTTTTACACCAGACCCTCCATGCCTGGATATACAAGGCTTGTGTTAAGTGAAAAACAGGAATATAATTTCAGCTAAACAATATGGCTTTCACTTTCATTGAATTCAAATCAATTAAGTACTGAAGTGATGGTTCCAAAATAGAACCAACTCCTGCCTTAAAATTCTCTGTCTAACACAATTTTTGACCTGATGATCACAGGAAATGCCCCAAAAATATGGTTTTATAGAAGAAACATGACATTACTCAAAGTTAAAGAGAATAGCATAATAAGAACATGCTGAGTATAAGTATGGTTCCAAAAACACATAAACATGATTGTTTATTTCCCAATTCCATGATGTAATTGGACAGGAAATTGTTATAAAAGCCACATAGGATACACAGAGAAAGGGGGGGTTGGGGTGGGGGGCAGATAATGAAGAACAATAGTTTCAACATGACAGCAAGGACTTAAAAGATGAAATTCAGGATATAAATCAACATTATAAGAATCACAAAACACAAATGACAAAAGGCAATTAAATCTCTGTATCCAGATATAAATCCATACCTTAAATCACTTCTTATTGGAGAAGGTGAGGGTGAGTAAGCTGCCATACAGAATGAAATAATAATTTAGCAGGGGAAAAATATGGAACTATATAATTATATAAAGTTACTAGCTACCGGACGATCACAATCAGTAATAACTGCATCGCAAAACACAAATAAAATCTTGTTTGAAATGTTAAATGAATGAAAAAGTCTAATAAGTAAAACTAACAGCGATGACGGCGGCTTGGGGATCTCGGTGGACTTCGCCTCCTATAGCTTCCTCAACTACTGTACATAAAAAGAAAGCATAAACAATGTCACCGACTGCTTAAAGGATAAAAATGATTCACAAAAAGGCAAAATGGTAAAAAGACAGCAAATCAGAACACTATTACACCTTATTCAGAATTATAATTAACAGCCCTCTTTTAGAGAGGAAGGGGGGGGATTCTAAAGTTCCATGTGTGTGGTCCAAATTCCATTTCAAATAGTACTTCAATTGAACTGTGAGTCTAAGCTATTTCAATAGTCATAAACCGTTATAAATCGATAATTCTTGATTGAGTCCTTGCATGAACGCAATGAATTTAAAACTACGGTTGTTATGGGTTTGTGAACTCTAAAAACATAATTAATAGAAAAACCAACACTTGGACATGAAGCAGAAGAAATAGGCATACCCGGTGTAGTAGTCCTTAGGTAAATACACATCCTTTAGTGGACCAAATCGTTCAAACCGGGTTCTAAGATCTTCTGGCCTGCACAGCATCCAATAGAACTATTATACCGTCACTTTTCTTAATAGAGAGCACAAGATGTGTGTGTGTGTGTGTGTGTGTGTGTTAGAGAGAGAGAGTTTGAACTATTAAGAGATAAAAGTTTAACCTGGCTAGTGTTTGAAAATTAGAGGGAAAAAAAAGAGTTTCACACTGAAACGGTATAACAATTATTATTTTATTTTAAATTATTTTTTGGCATTAACGTCATAATACCAGCCACTCAATTTATAGATTATGAGCATTTCAAGTACAAAGGCTGCCACTCAATTTATAGACATTATGAACATTTGAATTACAAAGGCTACAAAACATATATCACAAAGACAAGACTATATTGACACTACATCAAATTCAAAGCCTCGAAGCAGCGACTTGGGAATAACCATAGGTTAGGTCTGTCTCAAGTCCTCGATCGGCAGGACCACAACTGGGTAATGCCTTTTGTTGACATCAAATTCAAATAAGTTCTAAAGTGATATACTAGAAAAAACTGTGAATTTTTTTTTCCTGAGTACTCACCCCCCCCCCCCCCCTCTCTCTCTCTCCAAGGAATTGTTTGCACTCAAGAGGAGTCGGAAAAAAAAAAAAAAAAAAAAGAAGTGAAAATTACTCTTAAAAAACTAAAAATGAATTCAGTGGAGTAACAACTGCCATTATTAAGTAAGAAATGTATACTATTCTGTAGAAATTAAACAAATTAAAAATAATGACGTACTTATATTAAAATTGGACAAAAACTATATTCACTTTTATAACTTTTAAGTTAGAATTATTGAATAAAATAACAAGTTAACAACACCAAGATAATTTAGTAGGAAACATAAATTAAGAAAGGAAAGGTGCGGCCCATGCAAATGGGTTGTCCTAGAGTTGCTATTTCCTCCCTACATGCAGATGGTGACGGCTATAGCAGCTCCAAGATACAACCCCAATCACTCAAAGTCATGACTCCTCTATGAGCATATTCACAGAAAATCCAGTACGGTCTTTATCAGTTGCCCAATTTTGTTAAACTATGGTGAAAGTAGTAGATAATAGGGAGAGATTAATTGTACATGAAATTGCAGAAAATAAATAGGGAGGAAGAAAGACTATATTCAGATTCTCTTTCTTTTCAGTTTTCTGTACCCTATGGACTGTTAGAATCCTAGTATTTATAGACTAAGAGTCCAATGATAAAAAAAACTGAGTATTACAAAAATTAGGAAATAATGTCAATAAAATTGCAGACAGTCAGGAATCCAATAGAATCGTTCAAAGAGGTTTCGAAAACATTTTAAATATGTTAACATGCTAACAATCCCCCACAAGGTTTCCAAACCTGTTAAAATTATTATACATATATAGAGAGGGATTGGGGCAACTTTATACCATGTAATCGATGTAGGTACCTTTCGGATTTGAACCTACACTTAGTGTTAGATAGTTTCCATTTGGAGGTCTAGAGTGAATTGTGTCTTGAACTCAGACCCTTTAACCAAACTTCAACATATCACACATAGTATTGATAATTGACTTGGTTTTGTGGGTTAGCGCTATTAATGGCCATGCACTTATCTTGATGGTCATGAAAGTTACTAGAGAATAGCCCAATTCTCACAATTGTGGCCTCACAACAACTCTCACTTAGGTGAGTCCTTCAAAGGTACATGTGACTGGTACCTTGCAGGAGTATGCCTGCCTCGGGCTCATTCAGCCCTTCCTAACATCACATTAAAAGTATCATGCTATAGGAATGAGCAGTAGCGTATCTTCATGAGAAATCTTCTAATATAAATGTATTGTCAGTGAGCCATGCAATGTGGATTGTTTCTACCCAATAAAATGGGATCTCCAATCACAAAGGTTGGGTTACCTCCGTAGGTGACTCCCTTGTGGGCTTAATCCCATCCCCTCGACATTTCTAGACTAATTTGCATAAAGAAAAAAAGAAAAACAAAGAAAAGAACTTACAATAAAAGTTTAATATGGCTGATCATTAGAGGAAAAAAGTAATAGTTTCAAACTGAAAATGTATAACAATTTTTATTTAATTTTAAATTATTTATTTAGCATTCACGTCATATTACCAACCACTCAATTTATAGACATTATGAACATATGAATTACAAAAGGTTACGTGTCAAAAGTGTACTAACACTACAAGCAGCCATTTGGTAAAATACCAAAGTACTAACACTACATCAAAATCAAAGCCTCAGAGCAGCCACATTAAAAAATACCAAATGCTAGGAGGTCTGTCTCGAGTCCTCGATCCAGACATGGCAGGACCACAACTGGGTAATGCCCTTTTTCGACATCAAATTCAAATAATAAGTTTGAAAATGATATACTAAGAAAAACAGTGAAAAATACTCGTAAAAAACTTATAATGAACTCACAAGGAAGCGGAACAACAAATGTCATTATTAAGCAAGAAATATACACTATTCTGTTAAACAAATAAAAAAAAAAATAATGATGTTACTATTCACAACGATTTTGGGGTATTATCAGGTATAATTCAATACAATTTGCAACAAACAACATAATTTCAGCTTTGATCAGTAATAGTTCAAAAAATAACAAAGAGATTGAAGAAGACGATATAATAAACGTATATATACCCAAACGATGAAAAATGAATCAAATACAAATTAAAGAGCGCAATAGAAGAAGAGTGTATAAAGACGATACCTTGCGTGGAGAGAGATGTTGCGAATAAGAAGACCAGAAGGGGCAGGTGATCTTCCGGCTCTGCTAGACCGACTATCATCGTATTGCTTGCGTCGCAGTGGGCTTCTGCTACGCCTAGGGCTGTAGCTTCTGCTTCGGCTTCTGTACCTCCCCATTGATACACCTCTCTCTGTAGAGGAAAATTAGAACCCCAGATAGATGGATGGAGCTAAATCTTACTTGGTTCGTGCAAAACCCTAAAAAAATGCACTCAACAGGACCACAATTTACTGCACAAGGTGTTGATTGAACATGTTTAACAGACAGTCAGACAGCACTCGTGATGAGTTAAGAGCATCTATTATTATTATTATTATTATTATTATTATTATTAGGATAATTTACAGGTTTGTTATAATTACACGGATCTCCCTCTGGTTTGAGAATTTATTCAGATCTTCCCTAACAATGAAACTATCCTACACGAACCTCCCATATGTGCGACGGACCGTCAAATATACTAACGGACATGGCTAATTTACTAAAATACCCTTAATTTTCTATGGTAAATGACTAAAGTACCACACACACATATATATATATATATAGATAGTGGTGGTGGTGGTGGTGGTCTCAAATAGTTAAAGAGAGATAAAGAGAGTTAATCCTTGAGCTGGGTTGCGTTCCTCTTGCCTTATGGGGTTGAGGAAAGAAGGGAATATCTGATCTGAGAGAGGATAGAGAGGTGAGAGAAGAAAAATTCAAGGTCAAAGGCATTATAGAGAGAGAAGAGGCGAGCGAGGGCGAAGATTACAAGAGATTGGGAAAAGTTGTAATGGGTGTCGACAAAAACAAATCAAAATCATAAAAATTAAGCAAAGTCTTTGAATAAAGATGGAATTATAGAGAGAGAAAGAGAGACATGGACTTTTAGAGAGAGAGAGAGAGAGTGGGGGTGTGTGCCGTGTTGTTCTAGAAGGAAATCAAAATCAAATCAAATGTGAAGACCGTGTCTTCTTTTTCCTTTTCCGATTTTTCGTCATTTATTTTTTATTATTTGTTATTTATTTTAATTATTTGATTTATTCTTTTTTCGCGTTGTCTTAGGTTTTGTTACGCTCAAGGTAAGCTTCGGTGCTCGGAAATGATTTCCGGCACCACATGCATTATGTTTTTTATCTTTTACAGTCCGCGTATGTCTTAATTTCATTGTAAAGCATGCTCATTTATTTACAATTTCCAGGGGTATCGACGCATGGTTTATTCGGAAACATTTTAGTTTTTCGAGGTGTTTTGTGTTATTATGTTTTTGAGCTATTTTGCCTTAGGGACTTTTGTGCAAATATTCTTTAAAATATTTTGTGGAGGGACTAAGTTGCAAATAGGGATAAGAGTGACAAATGACACTCTCCCATTGGACTATGTGTTGACTTGCCATTGCTAACACTTGGAAGCCTAATTTGGCAACAAGTGTAATACCATGATCAAACCTTGTAAGGGGGCCTAGATTTGTGACAAGTGGAGGGTGGATGTATGTGTGTGAGAGAGAGGTAGTGTCGGTGTGTATGTGTATGTTTGGCCAACAAGGCTTAGGGTTAGTGGGAAAAGATAGGATTTTCATCTTCCTCACAATAAGCCCCATTGCAGCCAACCTGAAACCTCTTTGCCATTTTCGGATTTTGAACCCCTTGCCTTAGGAATTTGATCACCCACTTTGAAGATCACATCTTCCTCTCTTCTTGATCTAGAACACCTTTTTTTTTTTTTTTTTTTTTTTTTTCCAGTTTTTCATTTTAACCTTGTTTGTCTCGGATTCCAGAGGGGTGAATCTCGAGTATGGCAGTTTGAGGAATCCTGAAACCCTATTTGCCATTTCTGAAATTCGACTCCCTTACTTAAGGAATTTGGTCTCCCACTTGAAGATCAAATCTTCCTCCCTTCTTGATCTATAACATCTTTTCTCAGTTTTGCATTTCAAGTTTGTTTCTTGGATCTAGAGGAACAATCCTGTAGTAAGGTAGGATTGTTGTTTCTTGCTTCCTTTGCTGTTGATATACATTGTATGCATGTAAATTGAAGTCCTAGGGTTGTATTAGATTAATTTTGATTATATCTAACCTAGTGTTTCATTTTTGTGCAAGATATATTTGTGATTATTCTCTTGTATTTTTGTTGTTTAACTTAGTAGATAATGAAAACTTTGTGATAAATTGTTGTTACTTTGATGTTATAGGATTTTTGTTGTCACTATTTGTGTTATGTTAATTGATTATGTCATTGTTAAGTTAGAGATTTAATGAATATCATGTTAGCATGATTAAAATCTCTATATTGATTATCTTGTAGTTGTATTGTTGTAATTACATTTGGTGTGTCTTTCACCTAGTTGCACTAAAAGTGTGTAGTGTGGCCAAGTTTAAATTTATAGATTGCCACTACCACTTCTAACTATAAATATAGCTAGGGTGAGTAGGGATCATCCCAAGGGAAAGGAAATAATATTGATATGGAAACAATGTTGGATTAGTAGGTCGAGTGATCAAAATGTTGTGATTGGTTAATTAGACTACAATATTAAATAAATGAGTGCAAAGTAAAGCAATTGAAGTAGAGTAAAGTGTAGAGAATAGAAGAGAGGGATCTTGGGATTTAGAGGTCACCACTAAACATCACCTTTCTAGACACTCAATGTGTAATGAATGAGGGAAATTGTATGTTGTAATACTAGTGTGTGTGATTGATTGAATCAACAAGCATTGATGAATAATTAAGTATACATTATCTAGACAACCTAATGAATAGTACAATATATCAAATTAAGCCATTATTCCTTCCTTTAAGCTCACAATCATAACACATCAACAAGTTAGAGAAATATACTACTTGCATTCATAAGCATGGAATATCAAACAACAAGCATGGTGTGATGTTTCCATTTTTCGTCATTTTCCATTTTTCCAGAATTTTTGTTGTTGCAAGGGCATTTTTGTTTTTTTTGTCGTTTTTCGTACCAAACACTGTGGAGTGTGCCGGTTGTGTCCGAGAGTTGTCTGGGGCATTTCATTGAGTTCAAGACTCTTTGAAATGCAAGGGTAATCATTCTGACATTTTTTAGTTTTTCAGGCCAGACGGTCCCGTGTGGGACCCACTGTCTGAATTATTGCATACGGGGATTTTAAGAAAAAGGAAAAGGAAAAAAAAAAAGTCGGACCCACCAATATCAAACTTAAGGCCATGAGACCACATGTTTGGTCTCATTTTCCTCTCTTCCTCCCGGCACCATCTTTCTTTTTCTTTATGCCTTCATTTTTCTTTTCTTTTTCATTTAAAACTTCAAGCTTAGATTACTCCTTCATCATTTGGTGTTTTTAAGTGCCGTTTGCAGCAAATTGAAGCTCACAAAGAGATCTACAAGTTGATCGAAATAATTTCATGTTTGGTGCACTCTAGGAAATTCGAGATCTAGGGCAAAAATTGGGGGTTTTTGCTTAATTTGAGGTAGGGGTCTCTAATTCATGTTTTCTTGTTCTTTTGTGAGTCAATTTTAGTTAATTGATGTTAACATGCTTAATTGAAGTTGATCTCTCTTAGAATGATTTTATTGTGGTTATGAAGTTCATGATTTTATATATATGTTGATTTGTATGAAGAACATGCCTAAGTGTTAACTTTCCCATGTCTATTGCATTGTGAATTTGCTAAAGATGATATATGTTTACATGTATGATTTCCTTGGATTTTTGATAATGAATGCCTAATTGTATAATGTGAAAATCTCTTATTTCCATAGTATTGAAGGCATGAGACATACATACATGTCATTGGACATGAAGGAATGGAAATGTTTTGAAATGAATAAAAGGGGGTTTTCGATATAAGTTTTGATAAAAAAATTATTGTGAAAAACCTGACGCCAAGGGGGTACCGAGGGTCCGTGGCGTTAATTTAGCCTAGAGAGAATTAGGGAGATCGTCCTAGTGTGGTTGAGCTATCTGGGCCCCAAATGACGCCGCGGGGTTACCAAGGGTCAGGGACAGTAGCCAATCACTCTCTCGTGTCGCCAGGGGGGTACTGAGAGACGGGTTGCATTAACGGTTTGAAAAGTGAAGAATGGAAGTGATTTTAAGTATGGGGAGCGACATACATGACATTGCATATCATGGCACGGCATTGTTTATCATGAAATTGAAATTAATGTTGTATTCCTTTCCGGTATAGCATGACCCCTATCCACTATTTCTATTTTTTATTTGGATTCATGGGGCTACAAGAGGTGTGTCTTTGGCACCACCTACTGAGCAATTTGCTCACCCCATTATATTTAACATTTTTCAGGGCACTGTAAGGAAGTGGCGGACGACAATCCACCACCAGCTTAATAAAGTTGACGGACTTGGACCTTTTGTATTCGATGTGTATATTAACCCATTTTGTTGTAAATAGTATTAGGGATCATTTTGTATCTTCTACATGATTGGAAATGGTCTTGAGACCATTCATTTGTATTTTGTGGTCTCAACTTGATCTTTAACATCCATGTAAGGCCTTAAGGCTATATTTTTGATGTACGACGTTTTCACTTAATTTTAATGATGTATTGGACTCGTGAATGGTCTTATTCAATTTTAGTACCACTTAATAATGTTAGTTTCATCATTATATGAAAGATTTGAGACAGGTTTGAGCTTTGAATAAGGTCACTAAGGGACCAAATGAGTGCCTAAGTGCACAAGATCACATTTTAGGCTGTTTTGGGGCATTTTTGAGGTTCTGGGCACCTTGAACCGGTTCAGCCCCATTGAACCATTCAAGGGGGTTTCTTTGGTTTAAGAATGGGCACACTATCCATCTTGAACCAGTTCAAGACCCTTGAACCGGTTCAAGTCTCCCAGTGTGTGCATTATATTTGACAACTTTGATCAACAGACTTCGGATGGTCATAACTTCTTCGTTCGGAACCCAAATAGGGTCATTCTTGAGTCCATTTTCAAGGATTTTGAGTTAGATTTCCAATGATACCAACCTCATCCTCAATTTCCATTCATGTTGAGAGTTATAGTCATTTTAGTGGGACAGTGTCAAAATTTCCTTTGAACCGGGAAAGGGTATTTTTGGAGATTTTTATTTGATGACCGTAGAACTTGACCATCCATCATGGAACGTTTAGAATAATTGTTTTAGACCTCATTTGACTAGTTTAAGTTCTTATTATCCTCTCATAATGTAAAATGATCATTTTACCCCTAGTGTGTCCTCGGGTTCGGGTAAGGACCCGGATAGTGATTCGGACCCCCGGTTTGGGTCGTTACAAATTTAGTATCTGAGCGATGGTTCAAAAATCATTAGGATGATGGGTAGAGGCCTATATAGAGTTGCATGGGAAGTTACTTGCATTATTTATATGATTATTTACTACGTGTTTTAATTATCTGAAGAAACGTGCTTAACTACTTATTTGTTTATGTGCTTATATGTTTACGCTAAAGTGTTTCTTGTATAGTTTTGCATGCAAAGTGTTAGTATGGCATCATTTCATGTTGGGTCATCCATGGTGGACCTTGGTGTCATGTCATTGAACCGTTTTCTTATTTTATAGTGCGATACCGCCACGAATGGAACCAAGGGAAGTTGGCCCTAGGCCGACAAGGGGTGATATTGGTGAAAGCTCTAGCTCTAATCCAGCGGAGCAAGATGAAGAGGACACACTTCTTAGGGATTTGATTCCCCCGAGCGGTGTTCCCATTATAAGGGATAATGTCGAGACACCCGTTGAAGAGGGTGAAGGTTCAGCTGGACTAGCATTAAACCACTTATTGCAGAGTGCCTTGAGGGCAACAATTGCTACTCTTCCGCAACCGATACCACAACCGGTAGTTCAGGTGGAGGAGATGCTAGCGCAGAAACGTCTTAAGTTGATTTCATCTAAGTTGATGCCAGTGATGTTCGAAGGTGGTGCGGATCTAATGGAAGCGGACGACTATATGGATCAAGTTGAAACTCAATTGACTTATATGGATGTGACGGATGATTATGTGAAAATCGTCTTAGCCACTTATAAGTTTTCTAAGGATGCCAAGTTTTGGTGGAAGTCAGTCACCAACCGGCACAAGGTGGAGGAGATGAGTTGGGAGAAGTTTAAAGAATTGTTCTACGAGAAGTATTTTCTAGTTACCAAGAGATGGGAGTTAAGGGATCAGTTTATTGGCCTCATCCAAGGTAATATGTCGGTGACAGAATATGAGAACAAGTTCACCCCACTCTCTCGCTTTGCTCTAGAGATGGTGAGTAACGAAGTTGACAAGGTTCGAAAGTTTGTTTCTGGGCTTGACTACAAGATGAGACCGTTTATAACGACACAATACATCAAGGTTTATTCTGAGGCAGTGGAAAGAGCATTGATGCTAAAGGCGGAGGCCAAAGATAAATATGCAAGAAGGGAACAGTGGAAGCAAAAAAGGAATGCAGGGTCATCTTCAGAGGGATCTTCATGGAAGAGGAACATGAGTGGTTCGTCTCAGTTTCAGGGGCAGCAGTCTACACGATTCGCTCCTACCACTCCTATGCCAGCTGGGTCTGACAAGAGTGGAGTTGTTTGTTATCAGTGTCAGCAGCCTGAACATTACAAGTCCAGATTTCCTATGAACTTGACCACAGTTTCTGTGCCATCAAGAGCTTGATATGGGTGCGGCCAGCAAGGCTATTTGATTCGAGACTGTCCGAGTTAGTAAAAAGCACCAGTAGTGGCAAAGGGTCACGGCAGAGGCCATCGCAGTGGGCTACAGTTTAGTTAGGTTTCAGACCATCGCCACCACCATAGCCTTCCATGTCTTCATAGGGATCATGACCAGCTAAGAGGGATATTCCTGCTGCATCGGTGCAGCAGTCAAGTGTTCAGGTTGGCAGTTTTTAGGCACAAGCACCACAGGGATGTGTCTTTGCACTTGCACAGGCCGATGCATCTTCTGGTCCATCAGTCCTTCGAGGTATATTTCCAGTGTTTGGTTCTTGGGCTCGTGTTTTGTTTGACTCTGGTGCATCTCATTCTTTCATATCATCATCATTTGCACATGCAACAGGGTTAGAGGTCAGTTTCATAGATTAGGCATTGTGTGTTGATACGCCAGTTGGGGTTTTAGTGTCCTTGAGTCGAGTTGTGTGAGATTGTTCTATTGTGATAGCCGGGCGAACTTTTGTGTTTGACCTTATCCTCTTGGAGATGACTAGCTTTGATGTCATTCTCGGGATGGATTGGTTAGCTTCATTTCATGACAGGATCGACTGTTTTAGAGGTAGAGTCACGGTTTGCACTCCTGAGGGAGACTGTTTCTTTTTCATGGGAGATCGAAGTGATTCCCAACCTTCATCGTTGTATGGGATTCGTGGACGGAGTCGTGGTGATTACTTCTTGGCTAGTCTTCTAGTTGAAGAAGATGATATTATGGAAGAAGATTATCCTGCGGTTGCTCATGATTTTCTAGATGTGTTTCCGGAGGATTTGACAGAGTTACCTCCACACCGAGAAGTGGAGTTCGCTATTGATTTGATGCCTGGTACCTGGCACCATATTATATAGCACCAATTGAATTGGAAGAATTGAAGAAGCAGCTTAATGATTTGAGGATGAAAGGTTTCATTCGACCAAGTGTGTCACCATGGGGCGCACCGGTCTTGTTTGTTAAGAAGAAAGATGGTTCTTTGAGGTTGTACATTAATTACTGAAAGTTGAATCATGCCACCATCAAGAACAAGTACCTTTTGCCAAGGATAGATGATTTGTTTGACCAGTTAAGAGGAGCCAGTTGTTTCTCGAAGATTGACTTGAGATCTGGCTATTATCAGTTACGGGTTAGGGATGAGGATATCCCAAAGACGGCATTCCATACACGGTATGGACACTATATGTTCCTTGTTATGCCTTTTGGCTTGACTAATGCGCTAGCGGCATTCATGGACTTGATAAACCGTATCTTTCACAATTATTTGGACCAGTTTGTAGTAGTTTTCTTGGATGACATTCTTGTGTATTCACTATCTTTAGAGGAGCATGAGATCCATTTGAGTACTATGTTGCAGATTTTGCGAGAGCACCGATTGTATGCCAAATATGAGAAGTGAGTTTTGGCTACAAGAGCTGAAGTTTTTGGGGCATGTTGTCTTAGAAGGTGGAGTATCAGTTGATCCATCAAAGATTAAAGCAGTATTGAATTAGGAGCAACCCAAAAATGTTTTTGAGATCCAGAGTTTTCTTGGTTTAGCGGGTTACTATCAGAGATTTGTAAAGATTTCTCCCGTTTGGCAGCGCTTATGACTTGTTTGACCCAAAAAAGTATCAAGTTTGAGTGGAATGAAGCCTGTGAGTCATCCTTTCAGGAATTGAAAATAAGGTTAACTACGGCTCTAGTGTTGGTGATACCTGAGCGTGACTTGAGTTATATGATCTATTGTAACGCTTCACGTGATAATTTGGGATGTGTACTGATGTAGGATGGTAGAGTAGTAGCTTATGGGTCTTGACAGTTGAAGACTCATGAGTACAACTACCTTACTCATGATCTGGAATTAGCGGCCGTTGTGTTCGCTTTGAAGTATTGGAGACACTACTTAGATGGTGAGAGATTCGAGGTGTTCTCGGATCACAAAAGTCTCAAATACCTTTTCTCCCAAAAGGACTTGAATAACAGACAGAGGCGATGGGTTGAATTTTTAGAAGATTACTATTTTGATTTGCACTATCATCCGGGTAAGACAAATGTGGTAGCTGATGCCTTAAGCCGGAAATCTCGTGGAACTTTGGCCAGTTTGGCTATCCGGAAATGGAAGATGCTTGAGAGTTTGGCAGATATGGGATTGTGTTGTTACGATGAGGATGATTGCAGTGAGTCGGCATTCTTGTTTAGTCTTGTGGCTTAGCCTACTCTTGTCGGACGAGTGATTGAGTCACAGAGATAGGATCCAGATTTGGATGCCATTCACACCTTGATCTCTAGTGGTGAGACAGTGAAGGATTGGACCTTGCATGTAGATAGGGGTTTTCGGTACAAGGATTTGTTGGTTGTTCCCATAGTTTATCGTGAGGACGTTTTACGAGAGTTTCACACTTCCCGCTTTGTAGTTCATCCAGGTGGTACTAAAATGTATCACAATTTGAGACGTTAGTATTGGTGGAACGGGATGAAGAAAAATGTTGCACAGTTTGTGGCTAAGTGCCTTACCTGTCAACAGGTGAAGGCCGAGCATCAGAGACCAGCCAGTTTGTTGCAACCATTGCCTATAGCGCAGTGGAAATGGGAATAGATTGCTATGGATTTTGTGACAAGTCTTCTAAAGTCACAGAGAGGCAATGAAGTTGTATGGGTCATTATTGACAGATTGACTAAGACAACTCACTTCTTGCCTATTAAGGCAATAGATGATGCAGAAGCACTTGGTGCCCTTTATGTGAAGGAGATCGTAAGGTGGCATGTAGTTCTAGTAACTATTGTTTTGGATAGGGATGCCAAGTTCACTTCAAAGTTTTGGGAAGGACTTTAAGCAGCGTTTGGCTCAGTATTGCACCTTAGTACGGTATTCCATCCACAGACGGACGGACGGCCAGTCAGAGTCTACCATCCAAATCTTGGAGGATATACTTTGGGCATGTGTGCTTAATTTGGGAGGCAGTTGGGAGGACCACCTTCCACTCATTGAGTTTGCCAACAACAACAGTTATTAGGTGAGCATTGAGATGGCTCAATTCGAGGCGTTGTATGGCAGACCTTGTAAGTCTCCAGTTTATTGGACTGAGGTAGGCGAGACAGCCGCCTTAGAGCCTGACATAGTACTCGAGACTATCGAGAAGATTAAGTTGATTAGACAGAGATTGCTCATAGCTCAAAGCCGACAGAAGAGCTATCTTTTGAGGTAGGAGATCATATTTTTCTACGGGTTTCTTAACGGAAGGGTTTGATGAGGTTCATGAGTTTCGGGAAGAATGACAAGTTATTGCCACGGTTTATTGGACCATTTGAGATTTTGGATCATATAGGAGAGGTTGCCTACAGACTTGCTTTGCCACCACAGATGGACAGAGTCCACAATGTCTTTTATGTATCGATGCTATGGAAGTATGAGCCGGATCTATCTCATATTTTGAGTTGGGTTGATGTAGACATTGATGAGGATGTCTCCTATAAAGAGGGACCAGTTCAGATCCTTGACACATGGTAGAAGGTGTTAAGGGATAAGACGATACCGTTAGTGAAAGTTCTTTGGAAGCACCATGGAGTCGAGAAGGCTACTTGGGAACTTGAGCAAAAGGTTCACTCCAAGTACCCGGCATTGTTTTCTTCCCCAGGTATAGCTTGATTTCAGGGAAAAAATCCTTTTTAAGTTGGGGAGATTGTGATGTTTTCCATTTTTCGTCATTTTCTATTTTTCTGGAATTTTTGTTGTTGCAAGGGCATTTTTGTCTTTTTGTCGTTTTCCGTATCGGACACTGTGGAGTGTACCGATTGTGTCCAAGATTTGTCTGGGGTATTTCATTGAGCTCAGGACTCTTTGAAATGCAAGGGTTATCATTCTGACATTTTTTAGTTTTTCAGGCCGGACGGTCTCGTGTGGGACCCGTTACCGGAATTATTACATACGAGGATTTTAGTTAGGTTCATTTGCATGATATGCATTTTATTTAATGTGTTTATGTGGTAGGTGCACATATATGATTTTATGGTGAGAATTAATAAGAAAAAGAAAAAGGAAAAAAAAAAGAAAAAAAAAAGTGGGACCCACCAATATCAAACTTAAGGCCATAGGACCACATGTTTGGTCTCATTCTCCTCTCTTCCTCCCGGCACCATCTCTCTCTTTCTCTCTTTCTTGATTTTTCTTTTCTTTTTTATTTAAAACTTCAAGCTTAGATTACTCCTTCATCACTTGGTGTTTTTAAGTGCCGTTTGCGGCAAATTGAAGCTCACGAAGAGGTCTACAAGTTCATCAGAACAATTTCGTGTTTGGTGCACTCTAGGAAATTCGAGATCTAAGGCACAAATTGGGGTTTTTTGCTTAATTTGAGGTAGGGGTCTCTAATTCATGTTTTCTTGTTCTTTTGTGAGTCAATTTTTAGTTAATTGATGTTAACATGCTTAATTGAAGTTGATCTCTCTTAGAATGATTTTATTGTGGTTATAAAGTTCATGATTTTACATATATGTTGATTTGTATGAAGAACATGCCTAAGTGTTGATTTTCCCATGTCTATTGCGTTGTGAATTTGCTAGAGATGATATATGTTTACATGTATGATTTCCTTGGATTTTTGATAATGAATGCCTAATTGTATAATGTGAAAATCTCTTATTTCCATAGTATTGAAGGCATGAGACATACATACATGTCATTGGGCATGAAGGAAAGGAAATGTTTTGAAATGAATAAAAAGGGGTTTTTGGTGTAAGTTTTGATAAAAAGAATCATTGTGAAAACCCGAACACCAAGGGGGTACCGAGGATTCGTGGCGTTAATGTAGCCTAGAGAGAACTAGGGAGATCGCCCTACCGTGGTTGAGCTATCTGGGACCCAAATGATGCTGCGGGGTTACCAAGGGTTAGGGACAGTAGCCAATCCTTCTCTCGTGTCACCAAGGGGGTACTAAGGGACGGGTTACATTAACGGTTTGAAAAGTAAAGAATGGAAGTGATTT